ATCTTGTATATATACTAATGATTGTGTCCCCTGGCGCATGGTGTCGGTGTTCCGGCGTTACACAGAGTCGCGATTTCTGTTTTGGAGGCGCATGGTAGCGCCTAGTGTGTGATGCTTTTCTTTGGCTCAAGACCACAACTACTTGGGCGCTGTGCATATTTGACGACGTTTGTATATGGTCAAAACTGAATCCACAAGGGATGTGGATATGTATATACCGGGATCATGATGTGACCAAATTTATTACACCCATAGATATATAGAGGGGGAAAGGGCGACCAAGAGTAATACATACATGCAGCTGACATGATCCCTTCCGTGTGTTTGTTTGGTTTGCTCGCTTGTTTGTTCTCGAGGAATGCTCATGTCTCAGACATTCAACAATCGTGCATTTGTGCTCCTTATACCGGCGATAGGAGATTTTTTTTGGCTCCTTTATAAAGTGCGATCCCTAGACTGTTTCGAGCTTTTGTCTACCCCTCGTCTACTGTATCTGTCTTAGCCAAGCAAACAACCGCACAACTTTTGTCGCCATGGACTTCCTCCCTGGTAAGTTTATGATAACAATACACACCATCCTGGCGATCACTAATAACCGACACAAGAATCGATCTTATCCCTAATTCAAGACAACCCTACAATCCAACAACTCACCTCATCCTCGATCGCGTTTCATGTCAACAACGCCCGCACCACATACCTGGATCCCTACATCTCCCACCTGAAAACAAGCTACCTGGACCCATACATCATCCAGCCTCTCGCCACTATGCTCGCCTCTTCAACGTCCGACCTTGTCTCGGTCCTTATCCTCGCCCTCATTCTCATCATCTCTCTTAAGGTTCTCGATTATGCACGACGTGTTGTCATGTTCTGGGTTACGTTGGCGCTGCGATTAATCTGGTGGGGATTTATCCTCGGAGCCATCTGGTACGCATATAATGCTGGGTTAGAGAAGACCGGTCGCGATCTAGGCTGGTTCTACGGAGTCGTGAAGGGGTTCGCGGAGAAGTTCCAGGATGGGTTTGAGGGCGGTCAGAGATCGTCGTCGGCTACTGGAGGTTGGGGAGGGTATGCTTCTGGTCGGGATTTCCAGGTCCCTATAGGGAGGGGTTGAGCTCTTTAGCCGTCTCCGCTTGGTTTTCACGATTCATGTGTGATTAATGCTGCTGCACTGTTCTTGGGTATATGCTGGAGAAAAGTGCCAACTTGGGGAGTTGGTGAAAATTGCATTCTCAGCGTTAGGGGTTTTTTTCTCTTTTTGTATTGGTTATTTTTTTCCCTTAACATTTCCTTCGTTGCGCTTTTACGATGTTGGGATTTTTATGCATATATTATTCATTATTATTTGCGACATTATTTTGTTTTCATGATGGAGTCCGTTTAGATACATGACTTCTATACCGTGGTATGTCTGCGCTTCTGATGAGGGAGCAAGCGCCCGATGATTGGGCTTTGCATTGACTGCTCGCCAGCACACTGATGCTAATTATTGGCTCCGATCCGGCTAAGCGGGCAAATACCTGGCACGGGATCAAAGCATATCAGTGACCTTCTGGTGCCCCTGGCGGATCGGATGATAACAAGGTGGAGGGATGAGATGGTTCCGTCTTGTTGCCGCCGGTAGGTCCCAGGTGTATGTTCTAACAAGGCTAATTTGGCAATTAATTCCTTCATATTTATGATCATATGTCTGCATCCTCGTAATTAACCTCCTGCTCATCGTTGGGTTCGCGCGGTTCTTGCGCTTCATGGAATTGAGTGGCGTCGTCAATATGGCTCAGAACGGCGGCGACACTGTCCTCGTCCTGCACATCTAATTGCAAAAATGAAACCATACTGAAGTCATCGATGAGTTGGCCGACGGCCCGATTGAGCTGTTTAAATGAGCCACCGCTGAGCAATGTATCTTTGGACGACGGGTCCCCCATCGCTTCAGCATCATCATCCTGCAGCAATTGTACGTCCACATTGGTGAATCTCTTTAATTCTTTGCGGGTAACCATGTCCCGGACCTGGTCCATCTTAGTCAAAATATTTACGTGGGGCATCTCGAGCATCAGCATTGCGGACATAGCACTTAATGTGCCGGCAAAGAACTTGGCTTTGTCAACGACAAAGGTACTTTCGAGGAGATAAGCCGCACAAAGATTGATGTTCAAGGGGCCCGCACGCGACAGAAACTGCACCAATGACGGCAGGAGGGGTATATGTGTGTAGAGCTCGATCTGGCCCGGCATGTCGAAGATAATCAGATATTCTTCGCTCAACGGATCCAAGGCTTCCGATAGGAAGTCCAAATTCTGCAGGAGGAACTCAAAGCAATAGATGAGTCCTCCATTGGGCCCCAGGCCCATTTCCTCCATGACATCTTCGAGAGTGATCAGTTCGCGAATATCCAAGTCAGGTTCATAGCTGAAACTTTCGGCGGCCGGGTCCAGGTTGACGTAGAAACAACTTCGACGAGTATGCTGGAGATGTTGAATGACGGCATTGCAAAAGGTGGTTTTCCCTGCACCCGCAGGGCCCATTACCAAGACACCGAACTTGGACATTTTTCTGAGGTAAGATGCGCGGGGTAGAGAGGTTTATTAACCGCGTCCGTATACGACGCTAAGACGCTAGATAATGGATGCACGAACAAGATCAGGGGAGATGGGGCGCCACCACAGTAAGCAAGGGATAGTTATAGCCTGTTCGCCGTCACCGTCACCGTAGACTCCGCACTAAAAGGGCCAGCCGCAGAAAGTCAGGGGCGATCTGTCACAATATGCTGCACATTCACTGTCGGACGTCGGGGATTGGCGCAGATGTCAGAATGCGCACTTTTTCTGCCTAGAGTGACCGCCGGAGGAAGATGGCGCCATCGGCGGCACATTAATACGGCCAGATTCCCCTCGATTTCTTTTCCCTCCTCCCGCCCCCCTCTTCTTTTTCCCTCAGATCTCGTCTCATCTCACTAATATACCTCTTCTCTCTCCCACCTTTTGGAATTGACGCTCCTTCTCCGTCACCTCTGTACTCTCTTTCTTCAATTAATTCCTCCCTCTTATTTATCCTCATCCTTCACAATGGGCTCCGTCGCAAACCTCCCCAAGTCCGGCACTTTCCTTTTCACCTCCGAGTCCGTCGGAGAGGGTCACCCCGATAAGATTGCGTTCGTCCCCCTTACACTCCCATTGCAACCCTACTCCTCAAGGTCGCACCCATTGATACAATTCGAATAATGGTCTAACCTTTGAATTAGTGACCAGGTCTCTGATGCCATCCTCGATGCTTGCCTTGCTGAGGATCCTCTCTCCAAGGTACGGAGCGGAAATTGTTTTGCTTATTTGCGGAAACCCCCTCCTTTTTTTTTTTTTTTTTCAGCCCCACCCGATTGGACCGGCTTTATCTCCGCACCAAATCTAAGCACGTACTAATCTGGTTACCATGAATAGGTCGCTTGTGAGACCGCCACCAAGACTGGTATGTATCAAATATCTTTACATAAACAATGATATTGTTTATGTCAGATAATGCGCAAATGCTAACATTGTCCCAGGTATGGTCATGGTCTTTGGTGAAATCACTACCAAGGCCCAGCTTGACTACCAGAAGGTCATCCGTGGTGCCATTCAGGATATCGGCTACGATGCTTCCGAAAAGGGTTTCGACTACAAGACCTGCAACGTCTTGGTCGCTATTGAGCAGCAGTCCCCTGATATCGCCCAGGGTCTTCACTACGAGGAGGCCCTCGAGAAGCTCGGTGCTGGTGACCAGGGTATCATGTTCGGTTATGCCACCGATGAGACCCCTGAGCTCCTCCCCTTGACTGTCATCCTTTCCCATAAGCTCAACAAGGCTATGACTGATGCCCGTAAAAATGGCTCCATCCCCTGGCTCCGCCCTGACACCAAGACCCAGGTCACTATTGAGTACGCTCACGACAACGGTGCTGTCAAGCCCCTGCGTGTCGACACCGTTGTCATCTCTGCTCAGCACAGCGATGATATCTCCACTGAGGACCTCCGTGTTGCTCTCAAGGAGAAGATCATTAAGCAGGTCATTCCTGCCGAGCTGCTCGACGACCGTACTGTCTACCACATCCAGCCCTCTGGCCGCTTCGTCATTGGTGGACCCCAGGGTGACGCCGGTCTGACCGGCCGTAAGATCATTGTCGACACCTACGGTGGCTGGGGTGCTCACGGTGGTGGTGCTTTCTCTGGCAAGGATTACTCCAAGGTCGACCGTTCCGCTGCCTACGTTGCCCGTTGGGTCGCTAAGTCCCTGGTCAACGCTGGTCTCGCTCGTCGTGCCCTTGTCCAGCTCTCCTACGCTATTGGTGTCGCTGAGCCCCTGTCCCTCTTCGTTGAGACCTACGGTACTTCCCAGAAGTCCTCCGAGGAGCTCGTCCAGATTATCCGCAACAACTTTGACCTCCGTCCCGGTGTCATCGTCAAGGAGCTCGATCTGGCCAAGCCCATCTACTTCCAGACCGCCAAGAACGGTCACTTCACCAACCAGGAGTTCTCCTGGGAGAAGCCTAAGGCCCTCAAGTTCTAAGCGCGTCGCTGTGACTGCATGATCTTCCTTCTCCTGTTTCGTTACGAATGTGATGATTTTGCTTTGTTTCAACAACTCAAAGCATGAGCATAGACACGTCAGAAAAGCTTTGTTCCATATTTCCTTTATAATTTTTGCATGATCGTCTATAAAAAGGCGGGTTCGGCGGGATAAATTCAACATGATACCACTTTTCATCTGTTGGGAGGGATGTTACGGCGTTATCTGGGAGCGAAAGTCTTCAACACACTGCCTCCTCAGGCTTGGCACTTGTGGACCATCAGCGTCATTCAAACCAGGTCCGCACAGAAGTTTGTGGACGCTTGTCGTAAGCTGTGCTTCGGACAAGCGTCCCAGAGGAGATGATCTATCTATGGCCGACGGCATTTGCCCAGTCATAGTTGTGCTAATCTAAACATTAGCATTATAGAGTAATGAACAATGAACCATTTATATGGCCTTTATGCATCCGTGTAGATGTTGTAAACACAGTAACTAACCCATACCATCCATTGTTTGTAGATATCTCTTTCCCTCAAACTACTTGGCGACGTGGCCCTCAAAGTCTTAAAGGCAGTTATGTTGACTTTAACAGTGTGGAGGAGGTCTACTATTAAAGATCAGCTCTAAATTGTAACAATTAGTTAGCTGTAAGTCTTTTTCCGTGTGCGTATGTCGAAGATAGTCCGAACCGTGACGCGTGATGCCAAGACGGCCCCAATTTAATCGCGTCGTCGCGGACGAGCATTTTCGGGACATAGAATTACTAGTGACCCTATCAATCCATATCATATCATTATCTCTCGATTACTCAACTATACCAAGTCCCTCTTGGCATTACCCTCTGTCAAGTTGAGATTTGTTTATTCTTCATCTTCCTTTATGAAAGCGCACAATGCATGCTTAACCAAACGCGTTCATGGCCTCGCGTGTTTCCTCCAGCGCCCTTGACCCTTTCTCAGAAAAACCCCTCCAAGAGGCCGTCACCAACCCGCCCTCCAAAAAGCGGAAAGCATGTCGCCTCGAAAATGACTGGACCAAACAAACGATTAGCATTCGGGTGAGCGACGACAACTTATCCCACACCGTGTGGTGGATACTGACCGACCCGCAATACGCAGGCCCATGCCGCATCCTTATCCGATGAGCCATATGTCCTAGAACCGATTGCCATTATTCCGCGCTGCCAATTGCCATTCTCATGGCTAGATTTCTCCCCCACCTTGCTGTCTGAGATACAGTCCGGCAGTTTATTCATTGCAGATATCCCAGTGTTAGAGAATGATTTGCGAACGGAGCCTGTAGTTCTGGCTGTACGACTGAGGTCTGATGGTGGGCTTTACGTCGTCGAGCGAGCCAAGAAGGGGATATATGCGCTCTCAAAACTTGCTCGCGGTGTGGAAGAAGGTGACATCATTGTTGCTGTGAAAGGGTGGCGTCCGTCGGAGGTGGAACAAGCTCATCGACGCACGTCTGCTACTGAGGAGGTTGGTGACTGGTGGTTGATGGCGCAGGTTGATGATCCCGTTCCGGATCCTCATTATTCTACCAAGCGAACCAAGTTTGACGTTTCTGTTGTTTTCGGCATTGCCGATCACGATGTGCGCATGCAGGATGTGTCACCGGTGGATTCAGGTGAGAGTCGGGGTCAATCCGTGGCACCCCAGGTGTATGTGGAGAGAGTCGTGAGCTCTGATGTGATCATGTCTATTGCGGGGGATTCTCAAGAGCATGGTGGTGGTGATGGCATCGGGACAGAGTCTATGAAGAATGAGTCTCTTCAGTCGCCGCAGGAACTGCTGGATAATCTGAGGGAGCAGTATCTACAAGCCCTCTATATTTCGAAGGTATGTTGGGTTTGGGTCTAGTTGTGTTTTCGTACTAATTATGAAAGGCCTCCGTAGCATACTTTGCTAAAGGTCCGCTGGCACGTTGTCGTACGGCCTTTCACTCGTCTGAGTTGGGGACTGCTCAGCCCTCGGAACTCATTGAGTTTTACCGAGAGGCTGTTCTTACGGCTAAGAAAATGGATCTCAAGTACCGAGAGACGCTGCCTTCGACCCTGAAAGACGTTATGCTCAGTCTTTCGGACGATGAATCGACGTTAAAGAAGAAGAGAAAGAATAAGAAGAAGCTTGGGAAAAATGGGCTTTACTCTACAGAGGAACAGTTTATTCGGACATGGTGGAAAGATCGAGCGCTTGCAGATCAAGGAGTATCAACCGAGACGTCGCGGGAGGCGGAGCTGAAGAAGCACGTTGCTGATCTACGACTCCGAGAAACCCAGCTTCAGATCCTTCTCATTCTCGAAACAATGGCTCTGGAAGCCACCATGGCTGATGAAGCGAAATCTACTGAGGATGGTGACGGGTCCGACAAGACAAAAGCATCAAAGCCTAAAAAACTACAAGATTTGAAAGTGATGCTTGAACTGCACCTCGACCGGCTGTGCATTTGGCATGCAGTTAGCTTCGACGATGTTGCAGTGTCTGATCCAAATAAAACCTATGGCGACAACGAGTCGGGGGGCAAGAAAGTCGAAAGTGATGCCGTTCGGGACTTCTGCACTGAAGTCATCATACCCTTTTATGCTTCACGCCTACCAGATAAATGCAAATCGATCACCAGGAAACTCGGGGTCCCTAGCGTGCTATCGCCTTTCCCCAAGAAGCCCCAACCGAAGAATGTGCCCCGAGCAGAGCCTGGGGCTGCTGTTGAACGGCAACCATCGCAAAAGCATCCTCGTCGTACATTGCAACGTGTATTAACGGATGAACAAACAGCCTCCAAAGGACGTCGACAATCGCTGAGTCGCTTCAATACAATACCATCACAACCCGAGCGGGAGTCGATGGAACCTTTGTTACCTTCCTTGAGCGCTAGTGTACGAGGCGGTATTCAGAAGGCCAAGCGGGTAGACAATCGTGAAGTCGACCTGAACGCTGTGGCCCGGCAGCACGAGACCAAACTGAGGAAGATGCAGATGCTCATGGACCAGAAGAAGGAGCTCGACGCCGCGATCCACGCCCTTCGGAAACCGAACAGGGAGCTTGTCGCCAAGGACATTGCCGAAGATGCTGAGAAGAGACGCACAGGTGGCAGTGCAAGAAAACCGAAAAATCCTGTCCGCAACCCGTTCGGAGAAGGAGTCCAGGTTGCAGCTACACCAAAGGGCAGCCGAAAGAGGGATGCTATCATTGGTATGCCTCCTCTTCCCCGAGGCTTGTCGATGCAGTCATCTACGCAACCAAAGGCATCTTCATTCTTTGGAGGTGACGGATCACCTGTGATCCCTGCTTCTATCACGCGACCCAAATCATTCTCTATTGCTTCCAGCTCCAGAGACACGAATGCAATCCAGGAAACCCCAACACGACAGCCAACTCAGCCGTTAGGACCATTTGATGGACCGGCAACCGGGGTGGCCGAATCACCCCTTTCCTCCGGAAACCTCTTCCGCGTACCTCGGCGCCCGATGCCCCGATCGACCGACATGGCACCGACAACGCCCGTCGCATCACGGCGCACCCAGTCTCGTCCAGACAAGGCCACCGAACCGACCAGTTCACTCGTGATGGAAACTCCACCGAGACAAAACCTCACAGCGCCACTTATCCAGACGGACGGGCCAACAGAAGTAGCCGCAGATACACCAGTGAAGGTGCTCGGAACGCCAGTTAAGGCGTCTGCCAGATTATCTGTTCCGACAAGCACAGCGGTGCCGGTGACACCCGAGAAATCAATCTACGCGCAGTTGGGATGGGACGACGATGACGATCTTGGTCTGTAAACAACGGGCAATCATGGCTGGATTTTGTGTGCTTAGCGGGCGTTTAGGGTTGTTGGGATGGGATTGGGTAGGACTGCAGTTTTTAGTTTCGATACATCATGAGCATAGACGACCTGAACCTAACAATTTCAACATAAGACTTTTCAGGTTTTAATAATGAGAATCCCTTTCCTCGATTGACTACGGACTAGACTTCCAACAATAAGACAGGTCAATAGACAGACAGCGCTACGTGTCCTATCACGCTTAGACCAACATAACCCACGGACCATGAACAATCCATCCATCCATCCATGCACGTACAATCATGCAACCACCCCGACCAAAGCCAACACTCACCAACCAACCACACCTCCCCCAGTACGTACACCAAAAATTAAAAACCCATATCCAACGTCCATAAACGATAACAACCAACCAGCCCATCCATCCCACCGTTCATATGATCTGATCTGATATGATATGATATGCCATGAGCTCCCCTACCCAAGATCGACAGTCCATACATAGTGTGTCCCTTCATCCGTGTCAAAACAGCACTAAACGGGCAGAAACAAGGTCATGCGACCACTTAATACGAAACTAATGGATTCCCACTCCAGACCATTATTGGGAACGGGGGAACTACAATATCTTACCTAAGTCAATGATAATAGGTCGAATAATACAGAGTAGTTAGTTGGACGACTCGTCTACGCTTTTCATTGGTAGTGAATTTAATTTGGTTCAATTAGATTTGGGATCTGGGGGGCCTTAAGTATGTACAGGTACTTGGTCTACATTAATTTAACTAGTAGGTTGTAAGAAAGGTAAAAAAAAAAAAAAAAAAAAAAAAAAAAAAAAAAAAAAAAAAAAAAAAAAAAAAAAAAAAAAAAAAAAAAGAGAGAGAGAGAAAAATCCACGTGGTCAACACTTGTACATAGGTACCCTGTACTATCGGATACTAAATACTAGTCAGTAGTAGAAGAGAAAGGGCGCAGCGGTTAAAAGTACCCCATGCCTAGAGCGCGTAAATTATCTCTTTTGAGAAGGAGAGGGCTACTTACTGTTGCTAAAGGTACTTTGTAACTAACTAACTACTAACATACTTCGGAGTTCCTCTCCCTCACCTCCGGACTAATGAAAACGGAACTCAGTGAGGTTTCCTCCCCCAAGGCAGAATAGAATTACTACCCATCGACTTACTCCATAAAAACTAAAAGTACCGAGTCTCACTCTCGAGTCTCACCTCCAATCAATCCTCCTTCCCCCACAGCCAAGAAAATGCCCAAGGAACCATAATAATCCATAACCACAAAACCTAGAAAGCGGAAATTCCGAGTCCGGCTAAATCGAACATGCAACCAAGCAAGGAGGGGAAAAAAACAATGAATTGATCATTTTTCCCCACATTTTTCTTTTTTCTTAGCCCCAGGATTGCTTACTCAATGGAATAGTATTCCTTAGACCGCAACGTGGGTTCAGGGAGATTGTGGGGGAGAGAGGCTCAGCATCGCCTATCAGGTTGCAAGGAGGTGCAGATCGATGTGGTTTGTGACTTCCAGGTACGACGCGCGTGATTACCTGGGGATGGGTTTTCTTTTTTTTATTTTCTTTTTTCTTTTTCTTTTTCGGTTATGGTTTTTGGGAGGTTTGAGTCATACTTGGAGATTACTAAGTAATTTGGGGGTAGTTACTGGTGGACTAGTACTGGAACTATAGAATTTGGGAGGTTGGGTTTGGATTATGAATGGACGAGTTCGGTTTTTTATTGAATAGATTTTTGAATTTTTGGTTGGCTATTTATTATATAAATATTCAAACATGTGGTGACATGTTCATGTGAGCGACTTTTCTATTAGATACATGATTGATTGTCGATGATGTGGTTCGTTGTGAATTCCCTGTAAACTCCGATCCTGCTGCGCTTGCGCTTCCGGCCTGAAATATGTATATGGAAATGAAAAAAAAAGAGATTCGTTGCTTCGTAACTTCGTAAGTGGAGATTATGCGTATGTTTTGTTGGGGGTAGGTAGTGTCCCCAGTACGCGTGTTGGTAGTGGATGGTTGTAATTGGGTTGCCCAGTTACCCGGCAATGCGAACAGGTATGCACTGCGCAGGTGATTGCCAAAGGTGTTTTGTCTTCTCTAGACAGTTGCGGCCTTTCTCCAAGAGACCTTGTTCTTTATCATCGGATGGAGAGGGAGGGGTTGGAGTAGATTGGTCGAACGAGACGGTGAAGGTCACCTGGACGGGTTCCTTGTCCGAAGGGGCGTCGGTAGCAGTACCCTCCTTGGCCTTGGTCTCGGAGTCTTCCTTCTCATCTTCGGTGGAGTCACTCTCATCAGAGTCCATCTCCTTGGCGTCGTCTCGCTTGCTGTCTTCCTCCTCCTCTTCGGACTCGTCATCCTCCAGTTCGAAAGAGTTGATCCGAGTGGTCATGTCCTTCTGTGCCCACTCCATGGAGATAACGTGCAGGCGGAAATGGCCGAGGCACCGTCTGATATCTGGGTCCGGTGCAGTGGCCTCCCGGGCGAGCTTCTGGCGCGACAAGGTGGTGAGCTTGTAAGGCAGGGAGGTCTTGTCGGCAAGAGGGGGCCAGCGCTTGTTCATGGAGGGGTTGTTGGAGGACAGAGGGGAGGAGGATGCCTGCTTCGGCATAATGTCGATGGTTGCTACAGCCATGGTTGGCGGTTGTTCTGTGGTGGTTGTATTTTTCTTCTCTTCTTGTGCCGTCTCGTCGGGTTAATTAAGCGTTTAGAGAGTTGGATGGGTTGAAATTGTTTGCGCGACAGTCAATGAGACAGAGATAGCATTTGCGAGATGCGACAGATTGCGAGGAATATCAAGTACGCTGAATTAAAGCACAGTGGAAGTGAAAATCTGGGAAGAGGGTAAAAGAGAAGAAAAGGAAAAATGGGAAGGGAAGGGAAACTCTTAAGAGAAGCGAAAGGCTATGGGGCCCGAGGGAGTCACCAAGAGAGAATGAAAGCCCAGGCATTCCAGACCCAAGAAACTAGTAGGGTTGCGTAGTACGGGAGACCCCAAAACAGAAATCCGACCTGATGACCATCTGATCTGGCAGATTCTGCAAGCGGACGATCCAGCTAGGCCTAGACTCATAGAACCCAACTTGTCCACCGGGGCACTGCTTCGGTGCTTCGAATGTTTCCCCCCTTTCACCACTCACCAATCCCCTGGCCATCGACCACGACCAAACCCAGTTCATAATTGATTGAAGTGTCCGATGAATTGGTCCCTTTTTGCCAGGGTCTATTTCGTCCATCGTAGCCCACCCCATCGTGGTTTCGGTAGTGAGGCGAATTGCTGACCGAGACCAGCGCAAGTTCTGCCAGGAGAAAAAGGGTTGCGTACTACTGGGCGACTCCACCACAAAAACCAAGTGAACCAGCTGACCAAGTAGTGGGTCCGGTTCTGTCGGCACCATGGAATCTTCCACGCCGGGGAGGCGTTAGGGGCAGTTAGTCTACTCGTCAATGATTATGAATAATCATTTTGTTTCTTTTTTTCCTTTTTTTTATTTTTGTATTTTTTCTCTCCCTTTCTGATCATCATGACTGTGCGTTTTCAGTCTCGGTCTTTACCTTCTCGACCGAGTCATGCATTTTTACCCCTTCCGCATCACCAATCCAGATTGGTCCGCCCTGTGTTTCCAGTCAAATGAAGGAGAACAATCGGAAGATCCCTCAATGCAGGTGAAATGCTACACCCAGAATCAGCAGGGATTCAATCGTGGAAGACGAATGGAACGATTGAGTCAGGGATGCTCACGTGCTCCCATTGGTCACTGTTTGCGGGGTCAAACTTTCTAGGTTAGGCTCGTTACTATACAGAGTAACGCTAGGCGGAAATGGTAATAGTCTAACCCTGATAAGGGTTGCGCCAGCAAACCTTACTAAGAACTCTTATTCTCTGACTAAGGTCGAGACTCGAGTGGAGTTGCCCTTCGGTGAGGAATAATTGGAGGAAAATTATCTAAGTATGGATTTATGCGGTGCAACCTAAGGCATCAGTCTGATTCAACTACTACTAGTACTCTATCGAATATAGATACGGTTATCTTAAGTCAAAAGCTGGCGTATACCTTATACCTTACTACTCCATGGGGTACATTCTCAAACATACTGTGTCCAGTAGTCAGTCCACTTTTTTCTTTTGGTTCTGCCTTGGAATGAGATGTGATGATGTAATATTCGCCCCATCATACAAATTGACTCTGACAATGCCACTGTGTATGACTTCATGACCCGTCATGAAATTGTATATTAAGTTTATATGACAGCTCCATTGCCACAACTCGTCACTGCTCCCTCAATTGAAGTCATAAATCTACCTTTTGGATTGCGAAAGGCGCTAGGCTTCAAAAAGGTAATTCCGCCTCAGCGTTAGACAAAGGCCTGGGATGCCCGGGGAAATGGGTTGGACAAAGGAAGGGGCCCCCGCTATACGGCTCTCTTGATATCATACAAGAGAGCAGGTGACACGATACCAGAATTGGAAGCCGCAAAGCGAAGGATAAAGAGCGAATGGTTGCTCTGCCGAGGATTATCGCTGGCGAACCCGGTTTATTTTCGGTTGAATCGAAGGTTCAACAACATAGCAAAGAAATAGAACATCGGCTCCAACATAGAATTAATCACAATGGACATGTAGAATGAGGACACAATGTAACCTCGGCATCAACACTCCGCCACTGTAAATATTGTACCCTATCACGTCCATTGTCAGCTCTTGACACAAGTTCAATGTTATTCGGTGAACGATGTTCAGGCCGAAGTCTAGATTTGCAGTGGGACTGGGGTACAAGTCGTAGTAGTTGTAATGAACGCAACGCTAACATTGGCTGGATCAGCCTGGGATCATCCAATCCCGATAAAGTTTTCCTTGAATCATCAGATTAGGTATGCAGTTACTAACTCCATCCATGAACTCGAGGAGATGTACGTGCAACATTCAAAGTCACCCCAGTTAGTCGCTGTTTGACAACCAGCAAGGAATCCCATGTCAATCAATTCGGGGCCATGGATCTTCGTACATCCCCCCACATACCGTCAGAGGTTCTCGCACAGTTCTATACGGCTGTGCGGATCACGGTCGCAGTAGTCTTCTTCACCATCACAAGAGAACCTCCTGCGTTTCTGGTCCAAGTTGGGCCACCTTTGTCTGCCCTGGCCACTGCCCTTTCTCCTTGTTTCATCATTCTTCTCGTTCCATATTATGTTCGTCTCGCAACGCGACGAACACCACGTGTTGCGCCCACATATGTCGATGAGAGTGTCTGTACAGATATCGAGGAGGGTGAACGAACAGAAGTGGAAATGAGCGAAATCGATATCAGTAGCGATGAAACCGTCATCCACGATGCCAATTGGGAAGAAGAGGACGGCAGAAAAGTTGACAAATGTGAGAGCCATAGCATAGTACTCCAGGACGAAATAGCCGACGAGGCCGGTCGCGATGAAGGAGATACTGTTGAAGAGGGTTCGTCTGAGCGAAATGACGGGAGACTACTGGAGGGGAGTGATATGTTGTCAAGCGATGAGACTATTCATGAAGTTTTCACTATTGAAGAAGACGTCGGGAACAACGAAAGACTCGAGGAAGCCGATATAGAGTTCAATGATGAGATCACTCGTGCTGTCGATCTGGATGAGATGGCTGTCGGGGTAGGCGCAAAGCTCGAGGATAACGACATGGTACCTTGTGGAGAAACACCAGACGTTCCTGATCAGAGCACTGAGGGAGACCTTCTACGTGAATCTCCGCCTCCAATAGTCAATGCCCACAAGCCATCTCCTACCCCGGACTTCCCTCCATCTGGAACATCGTCAGGGAAAAGACTTCGCGCATACTGGGACCCTGCACCCGGAAATGAAATGCACATCTTGAGGCAAACAAGAACGTTTGAGTCTTTCTATGTTGCGCTTGAATCGAGGACGCGGCCTCCATGGACATTCGGATGACAGAGGAGCAAAGGGGCTCAGAGTGATAGCTTGTACTTCATCTTGATCCCAATAAGTTTCGAGAACGCAACGTACCTTCCACCACTCTTGACAATGTTGCAGTGGCCCCCATATGGCTGCACATGAGCCAAATATAAGATTCAGGGCTGCGTTGTCTCGGGTAATTGCATGAGACGAGAGAGATACATTCGAGTTTTGAAACTCTGCGCCACTATTACCCAACCGAATTGATCATAATTGGGATACATAGCGGGCGGGTCACCCGATGCGCACGTTGAGCCATTCTGTGGGAATACATTTGCAGGATGAGTTGCCGCGTGCAGGGCCATGCATAAAGCTGCACTGGTCTTAGGGCCACAACATCTGCAAAGATGACGGGTGGGTATAACATCCCAGATACTTCAAGGACATAATCCGATCAACATCGAAGTACTATTACTACATCCGACGGTTAACGCCAATACCACCGCCTGTTTACTAGCATGTCGGACAGACGTTGCAGTCCAGTCTGGATGGCTTTGGGCTCCCGCAGTACAACCCCTGCAAGATACGGACCATCGGCTGGACTTGATCTAATGTTTCTCCGATTCCGTGGTCTGGCCTAGTCTGCACCTGATGTGGAACTGCTCTGGTGATGACTTGCATACCATTTCCCTGTCTGTGACTGTTTAGTTGCTTGGCACCATGAATCACCTCCAATGATTCCACGTCCAACCCGGGCTTCCCCGGCTATCGTCCGTTCGTTATCTCCCGAAAGACATGGATAGGTTACGCTGCACCTAGTTGGGAAAGCTTGAATCGTGCCATGTCGATTGGATGAAAGAGAAAAGGAGCAAGAAGCGCCCAACACAGCCCCGATAGTCAAAGGACGTCTGAGGACTGTGTAACCACACAGTACGCGACGTATGCAAGTGGCCTCGATCCAAGCCGTTAATGTGGAGGCGCGATTTAAGATTTACTGGCGAGTAGGACTAAAGCGGTAGAGAGGGGACGCTGTGCATATTTGCTACTGGTAATGTGCTACCGTTGATCTTGAGGTTGAAGTTGGGGGCGGAGTAAAATCAATGATTTTCGCGATGGCGCCATGTTATCTCAAAACATCCACCACCTGGGAGAGCATCCTCCTCCTTACCAGCGACGTACTGTAAGTTACTGTGAATATCAAACGCACGGTCCTCAGTGATCAACCCCTACTGTAGCTCCCGCTCAAGTGACCTTCCGGTGCAAAGTCAATCCGTCGTCGACGCTGGTCATCTGCCCGTTGGAATGTCTGGACTCTGTGGGCTTTGTGCTCTGAGTAGCCTATAGGGTTCGAGGATGTCCCGGCACCTTCAGTATCTAGTCGGCCGGGAGAGATTCCTCTGGTCGATCCAAGTATTTCACGTTGGAGTGTATCTGGGGAGGCAGATGTAACCGTTGTGATGGCAGATAGCTGACCACTTCGGCATGGTTTCCGATTGTCTCTGATCTTTTGTCTCACTCTCCGTCAAGCTGTCTTACTTGGCGATACTCATTAACTCTATTCTACTTTCTCATGCTTGAATGCGACATACCTTCGTCGAGTTTAATATTACGGAGAATTGTCCATGTCAAATCCCATCGATCGCTGGCTCCATGGGGCTTCTTCGGGGACAACCCTAATTAGGAAGTTACTTAGAATTCCCACTGCTGAGCAAGTACTGAGAATCTTATACCTCTGGTCCATTTAGTTTTAGAGGATGACATCGATATCAATAGATGAAGCTTTGTCCAGTTGCACAAGCCTAATTCTAAATAAATAAACTTATCACACACCGATGACCCCTTGATACTGTTGAGATTTTCTCTCCCATCTGTGTGTGTCTCTCTCTCCGCCAAGGACTAAGGACGGGATCGACATGGCAGCAGAACGGGACGCTTCCACGTCTAGGTAGATCAACCATTCCTTACCAGTAGAAATAGAGGCTAACGGTCTTTCCACTACTGACAGGGCCACGTAGGCTTGGTATTATTATAATTGTTGTTGTTATTATTGCCATTATTCTTATTATTCTCCCCCTTTTCTCTTCATCCATGTTAATATGACCATTAATACCCAAAATAATCAGAAACGACGTGATGGATGGAGTATGACAATACCGTACGAGATGGTCGATCATCAATCAAAAGCGAGGAGAAGCGCGTGTCTTGTGATTGGTCCTGAAGTGGAAAGGCGTGAGATTCCATCAAAAACCAGGGAAAAAAAAGCAGATCAGTCACGGATCCTCCATTCCACGCATATTCGGTAGAACCGATGATCTCTTCACGTCAATTAGGATTTCGCTCTAAAAATACTGAGTCTGCGAATTGCAAGACGAAAGAAGGCGAACAACTAAAAGAGAGACAGGAGTAAATGGTAACTACTAGACCGAGAATATCCATCGTTTTATCGTCATATCATAATCGTCCAGCCTTTTCCCTTGGTGTCTTTTACATTTTCGGTGTCTCGGTATTATTTAACGCTTACTGCTCTCAGCCTTGTCTGGTTGAGATTTCCCCCTAGTGGTCAGGCAGGATTTGTCGCAACTGCTAAATTTCGGACAACAGAGTCCACGTAGGGTCTTGACAGGATAATTGAGGATCTCCCGGTCATCCATCACTACTGCTACTAGTACAAGTGAGTCTAAAGTAGATACACTAAAAGAGAAAGCATCAATGACCAATGACTAGAACTTGGCGGATGGGCTGACCTCGTCCTACGGAGGCATCCACCAAGCAAGCCATTCATTCCAAGGACTAATCTGCAACTAATCAAGCCTATGGTTCAATCGCCGTCATCATCAACAGCTCTTATTAGCAAGGACTAAGTCCAGTTTCATTGGCTTCTGCGGTTCTCCTCCACGCTATCTGCCTTGTTTAACTGCAACACGATTCTTGTACTATCATTCCATACAGTACAAGCCACAACCGTCGCTTCAGAAATCCGCCTTTCCCCTCGTGTCTGACTTGCTCCGTGCACTTCTACCTCCTTGAGGCCAACGGTCAAAAGAGGGAGAGAAAAAGAAGTGGGAGAAAAGGAAAAGAAAAAATCAAAAGAAAATAAAAAGCACCAACCGAAATCAACTTTGGGTAAAGTGATATCACACCGGTCAGATCCATTCGTTCCAGGGGAGAAGCGGCTCTGTCCGAGTACCAAACCCAGGGATTGCCCCGCGGTGGTTCTGCGACAGTTTTCCCATTTACTGACAAAAGTATGGATTACCTTTTGCTTTTTGGTTTTTGACTTTCATCGGACCCTCTTTTTTGGAATTCCAAATCCCATTGTCATTGTGTTTTTACTGGTCATACTTATTTATCCACGAATAGCTGGACACATAGATTGATTTATTGCTACCGAAGGTTGATCCACGCGATCGTGCCTCATTCTTCGTCAAAGGTGTGTTATCATCACCGAAAGTCTCTTGATTCCCTATCGATACCAGGCCCCTTTCGTCCATTGCACTGTCGATCAATCTACTTCAACGTTGGTGGTCTACTATTCTCTTTCTTTATAGTCATCCGGACAGGCTGGATTCTGTCTGCGAGGTAGGGAATTGGAAATACAACTACTACTTTGACAATTTCCTCCGGAACCGACTGCTACTGCATTTTGCCGTGAATAAGTCGGAACCAAGCGATCGTGCAGGGATCAGTTTTCATGACGAGCGGTGCTTGTCCAATACGCACTAAATTAGTCGTCCGTCCATACGTCCGCGCTACCCGATCGTCCACATGCTGCTTGTCCAGTATCATCAAGTGGAAGAATAAATCCTTGAGGACGAATACTAGATTAGATTAGGTAACAACTGAGGAAGTGATTGGGGAAGTAAGTCCGTTCATCTTTTCTTTCTCCTTTCCCTTCTGAGCTAGAGGGGCGCGTCATACGTGTTCTATCGCGGTTAGCATTTCTATTCTTATCGGACCTCGGACCTCGATTCGTTGCTTTTGGGTTTTGATTTATCTTCTCTATCGAATCCTTTCTTGCGCTTATTGTTCTCTTCTCTGGTACTTCCTTTCAGGTTGTGAGTTGGGTTTCAAGCGTCAGAACACGAAGCGAAGCTTAGGGTAGGATTTGTGACGGGGAGGGTAGTAGTTTGTTTGACTGAGAAGATCATCAATGCGCCCGCGTTGAATCGTGACCCAAGCGGTGCACCGCCAATCAGGGAGGGTGTGGCGCCGCCTCCCGCCTTGAGCTGTGATCCTATCGTTCAACAACCCTTCCTTTCCGACCCCCCCCCTCCTTCGACTCTCAACTAACCTTACCCTTTTCTTTTTCCCTCCCTCTTTCATCATCTGCTTGTGGTTTTTATTTTATTTTTCTTTCCATTTCCTAGGGTGGCCCCCTTTCCTTTCCCAGTCCCAACTCCAACTTTGGTCCCCACCCAGCTGCTGGTCCTGGTTTGTTTTCCCTTTCACTCTAACCCAATAAACCCGTCGGTTCTGTTGCCTGGCACACTTGCGACCTACACACAGACACCAGCCCGTTGGTCACACATAACCCCAGTCTGGTGTACCCACTGATCGGTTCCCTCAGCGTGAATCATCTTCAAGTGTTATCTGCTGAACCCCTCCCTAAGCCTATCGCTCTTCAAGCCCGCCGGGTAACAGTGCTTTCTGCAGGATAGGAACCTTGGGAAAGGGAAACCCCGTCTGGTTCGCCCCTCTCCATTTCCTTTTCTCCCCCTCCAAATAGAAAACACGTCACAGCCGCAAGGTGTGGCGGTGTCCGTCCCTAGTCACCTTCCTCTCCCCGGCCCCACCCCAAAAACCCGTCAAGCCACACAATCACTTGTCATCTGCCTCGCCTCCATTGTTCCTCTTCTGTCTCTCTGGGTGTCTCACCGCCTAACACCATTGCTAGTCCTGTCAAAGCTCGCGCGGCACTGATTTGCTCTGAACCTTCCCGCTGATCCGCTTCCTGCCACCTTCCAGTCCAACCACCCACTGCATGCAAGATCGTGGTCTGCGTTCATTGTTCCGAGGATCACTTGCATCGTCACAGCTCCTCTGCTGTCTTGTCTCGCTGCAGTAGCCCACCCAGTCGTCATCTCACCTGTTTTGGTGTTGACACCTTTCGCGTTCCTTGACGCGCCTTGCGGCCTTGCGACGGCTCTTCAACCTCTTTCCGTCCTCCTTGGCCCGCCATGTATGGCACCTCTCATTCCTCCGTTTCCGCTCCCATGAATGGGATCGGAGGCGACCTTGTCGATGGTTCGGGAACCATTAATCCCGCTGCTTTGAATACCAACAGCGGTATGTTGTCCCTTTACTTCCTTTTTGTCTTCTTGTTCTTGGTTGTTTCTTGGACTTTCTCACCTTGCCTCGTTCGCGTTCCACCTATCTCCCTCGCATTTTTACTTCTTTTCCAACTGGTTTTATCCCGCCATAGCGTTGGATTATTTTTTGTTCAGGCAATACCGTTGTTGAATCGCCTATGGCGGTTGATTACAATGGAGTATGGCCATCGCCGTTCATGGAGGTCATTACGATTTTTTACTTATCTATGTGTTTGTCCGTCGCGACAACCTCCAAACTGACGGCCTTTTGCTAGTCGCAGTTATTCTGCCAACACCCTCCTTTGGTACGAGCGCAAACACCGCTCCTCGCGGGATCAAGCGGAGTCGGACTCCAGATCAGCGCGGGACAGTCCGCGCTGATGGAGATCATGACGACGGTATGTGCGCGTCGCGAGGTCTCATACGGTTTGCTTACACACCGTGTGAGGCACTCTCGAGCCGCTTCGTCTCATTCAACCACTACTTGTTATTTTATTGATTTAACGCGTGCACGCTTTCCCCTATGCTATCTTCGTTGAGTACATTGACGGCTAACGTGTGGTCCATTCGACCATTTGCCAGCAGGAGCGGACGAACATGGCCGTCGAAAGCGTGGGCGCCCTCCAAAGACGCCGCGTCCCTCTGCTACAGCTATTGGCGATCAAACAACTAATGTTCATATGCAAACCCCACGAATGCAAGCACAACCCCTTCCTCACCAGGCAGGTGTCAACGTATCACCTCCGCAAGCATCGCCTCCGGACAAGACCACCCCAACCAAGTCCACTCTAGTCAAGGCGCTCCCGACTGTCCGAGATCATACGACTGACCAACTGAACGAGGAGGGTGACGAGTACATCCCGAAGGAATTCGATGAGGCTGGTGAGAAGAAGGTTAATGCCATGGGGTATCTTACAGGTAACCGGGAGTACAAATGTCGCACGTTCCGTGTGCCCCATCGCGGAACGAAGCTTTTCATGCTAGCAACTGAATGCGCACGTGTACTTGGGTACCGCGACTCATATCTCTTGTTCAACAAAAATCGATCTCTGCACAAGATTATCGCCACTCAGATCGAAAAGGATGATTTGATTCAGCAGGATATCCTTCCATATTCTTACCGGTCACGTCAGATTGCCATTGTGACCGCAAGGTCAATGTTCCGTCAGTTTGGCAGTCGAGTAATCGTGAACGGACGGCGAGTACGTGATGATTATTGGGAGGGCAAGGCCCGAAAACAGGGCTTCACGGAGGACGACCTGGCGGGCGAGAAACGCCCCGGAGGGGCTAAAGCTCGCGATGCAGCCGCTGCAGAAGCGGCGAGTGCTGCCAGCCTCCTACCAGCCCTGGCCCATGGCGATGTCATCTATAGCAATGCACTTGAAGCTATGCCCAACAGCTTACCTGTGGGTCCACCATCGTCCGTTTCTCTGGCGCCGCTGCCGATGATCCATATGGCCACCACAACGGACGATCCGCGACTCAGAGAGTACAACAGTATGCCTCGGGCCCGCCAAGAGTTGACTGGTCAGCCATATCAGGACCGGATACAACCCAGTTCGGCGGCAGAGATCCTGAACCAGGCCTCTCACACTGCCGACTTCAATAAAATTCTGAGTTCCCAGCGCAGCTATCGCCAGAAAGGCTTGGAGGATTTCTATTCCAAGCAACGCGAGATTCCAGCGTCCGCGGCTCAGTCGCAACCTGGACAGCTAGATTCGGCTCCGTCGGCATCTCAGCCCTTGCAGTCTCCTCAAATCACGTCGGCTCCGATGATGAACACGACCCAACCGCAGCAGGCCATGCTCCCCCATCAAACACCAATGGTACCCGGTCAGCCCGGCTTGCAGCAAGCGGTGGCCCACCCGCAAGCCCCTGTTGGGCAGTCTCCCGCCCGGACAGGGCCTGCAGTTCGCCCTGACCTGATGCATCAGCGATCGAACCCTTCTCTATCTGCAGGTACTCCACAGCCTTCAGGCCCATACGGTTATCCGTCACAACCGCAGCAAATGTGGGGTCAACCCCCACCCCAACCGCAACCGTCTCCCTTGTCCGCCGCGGGTCCGCAGGCTGTGGGAATGCCGCAGTATGCCTCCCAGCTACATGCACAACAACAACACTCACCTTCACCTCTCGCGCAACATCCGTCGCAGTCTCCACGGAACCAACCCCGTCCGTCTGCGCCACAAATGCCGCAGTCTTTCCCATTACACCATCCACAGGCACCTCAACAACAGCCGATGGCATCCATGGGCTTTCCAGGCGGCACTGCGGCCCCATATGCTGCAATGACAGCTGCAAGAGGCATGTACCCTTCGACACAGGGACCTGGTGGTCAGCAGTATATGGCAGGAGCACCGCAGCAACCAGGCCTCGCCATGGGAATGAGCGCGGGAGGTGCCATGCCTGGCTGGCCCCAAACACCCGGCGGACCGATGCAACCGGGGCATCCGCAGCCAGGTCAATCCGGAGCTCCACTTGGATGGTCCGGTTACTAAAAGCCTACGAAATAAGAAAGCCATGACCGGCGTTGACCAGAATTTCGGCGTTCATGGGACTAAGAGGCGTTGGGAGGATGGTGTGACCTTCGTGTATCGAACACGTTCAATGTCCCTTCTTTTCCCTTTCTGCTCGTTTTGCCGTTCCACCCTTTCTAGCACCTTGTTATACCGCTTCCTGCTATACACTATCCTTACACAAGGATAACAGCTAATGATAATCTGTGCATTTTCTTTCTATACCCTCTGCTATACCCGATGATGTTGTGATTTCGTTTCTATGTTCTCTTTCCTTGGTTCTATAGGGTTTACACGTTACGAGTATGGAAGTTGTGCATTTCTTGTATGTCAAATGATAGAAGGCCGGTCAGATAGGACGGTGGCGATTTTTTTTTTTTTTTTTTCAAATTTTTCTTCTTTTTTTTCCTTCTCGTCATATTTTGTTTGGTCTAGGCGGGCGTTTTCAGTCTACTGGTCTTCTCAGTGTTTACCTTACCAAGCATTTTATGATTATCTTCACTCTACTCAGCTATTCTTGTGTTCATGTTGGATATTGGACTCTGCGCCCTGCGGATGCTGGTTGCGTATGTTGATGCTTTCAAAGTTTGTGTTTATAGTATGCAGATTGCACGCAGGTTCATGCTCTGGGGCTTCTAATTTGAATACATTTTCCCCATTTGTCTATGATCTTCCCTTTTCGATAAATGATTGAACAGGTACTCCGTTGCAAGGACTATATGTGTGCGCGCATGCCTATGATGAATTTTCTTTGGCGGATATTTTGGCTTAATGATTGGTGCCTTTGCCATCTTCTTCCTTGCATTTTGGTGGAATTTTATTTTATTTCAGTAGTTGAGGTTCAAGTTACGATATTCTATCTCACATCGAGAATCAGATTCAGGTAATTATAATCTGCGTATGCACACTTTTCAGCAACAAGATATAGCAAAACATCATTTATAGATACACAAACTGCCATTTCCTAGGCAGTATATAGACATCACAATCTTATCTTACACAGAAACAATAACCAAGGGAGTTGTCACGGGAGCCGCCGTAGAGGGGCACACACATGAGTCAACTGATGTAACAGGCGGCGCGGTACAGTGTGCACTAGCAGTCCACGAAACCGAGGTTGTAGTCGGAGTCTCAGGGACGGTCTCAGCCCGCACGAGAACAGGTATGACAGCACCAGTGTTGAGTTTAAATGTACGATGCTTGACCACACGGAGAATCGAGCTAATTTCGCCCGAATGGCTCGTAACCGAGACGAAGAGGCCGGAGTTGTTGGCTTGGAAGATCGAGTCCAGGGCAGATTTACTGCGGAGGTCCTGCGCGGCGCTGGTTTCGGCTGTTACGCCGTTCCAGAGCTCATCTGTCTCTGAGAAGCCGCGCTCGATGGGCCAGGTGGGGAATAGGTCGTGGATGTAGGTGCGGTTGCGACGTTGATCGCATGTGTGGATGCTGATTCCTTCACGAAGATACTCTTTGATCAGAGGGCGGAAGGGGGTGCTTCCGTGCGGGAGACGGAGGCCGGAGAAGGTGATGTTCGCTGTGCGAAGGGTGCGGGTTAGGGGGCTGACGAAGTAGCTGTCCGGGGGGTGGATGTGTTGCGTGTCTAGCTCTTTTTGCCAGAAATCGTGGGCGACTTGGGCCTGCTCGATGCCGGCGTCTGTGAGCTCGGCATCACGCCAGGTGGCAGTACCATTTCCGTCCAGGAGGGACCAGTAGCACTGGTTGATGTTAGCAAAATAGTGATTCGGGACGAATCTAGGCGACCTTTGTTACTCACGTTCCAGGCAGGCGTGCCGTAGTAGTCTTCGGCTGCGTTGTGCCAACCTTCGCCGTGGCGGCCCAGGAATAGGACCTTGTAATCCACATTAGGAGGCGACACGCGATTCAGTTCGACTACTTGATGGTAGAACCGCTCCCATTGGGTACGGTGGTTGTTCTTGTTGCTATGTCCTTTGTCGGTTGGGTACGTGCGATTGATCAGTCCGAAGTTGGTGGTAGTCTAATTCCTGGTTAGCGATGATGGAGGTCGAAGGGAAAGTTCGGCACTGACGAAGTCAAAGGTGGATGGATCGGTTGTCGCTTCATCCTGCAAGAAATACCCAGTTACTGTAGTATAGTTGACATACGAGGCTTCCGCGAAGGCAGCCAGGCCCAGCGCTACTGAAGTAAAACCGGAGATCTTCATGATAAAAGGCACAATACTGACGGAGGTCGTAGGCTCAAAAGTACAAGATCGGCCGCCTCCATTATATAGGATTGGTTTCGTCAGGTGCCGGCGTGGCTGGCATCATCATGAGATTGTGTAATCGCGATTTGTTGCCTACCAGGCCGGCACGTGGGAGCTAAAGGTCTCCAGACGCATCCACTTAATATCGATCGACCTGCCAATTGGTAAACAATTGGCAAAGTCACGGCACACAGATTTCTCCGTTCTCGGAGCTCCTACCAAGAAAAACAAACAAGAAAAGAATAAAGGGAGAGAGAGAAAAAAAAGAAAAGAAAAGAAAAAGAAAGAAAATGAATGAATGATCAATGGGGCAGCACGTGTGTACAATCCAGAAGAAGTTCGACGATGCAAGCGATTGCAACCGTCATCCATATTATCAGTATTAATAGTAATTACAGGGAGATAGATGTAATGAAATACGTGACACAAAGAAACTCAGGCCTCCAAATATATATGTCAAGTCAAAAGTCCAACCGCTTCCAAATACATATGCAAAATCCATCGATATCCAAAATATTTCCAACCCAATACTAATCACAACCGAACATGAAAACAAGCCATGGCAGACGCCGAAGAAACACACCAACACGAATGCTCTGGGAATCAAACAGACAAGACCTGGGATACAAGGGAGTCCCATAGTGTAACAGCAGACAATGCAATAGGAAAGACAGAGATATAATGGCATACAGAGTAATGGCACAAATCACCACCAAGAGACCGTGTGTAAGCCCGATACATGAAATCAAACGCCGAATAATTTTACTTCCCTTTTGATATCTAATTTGCATTCCAATCACTCGGCGTTTGGTTGTTGAATGTATACGCCTTTGGTTTTTGCGGCAACTGCTGCGCAACAAACCGATGGGCTTCCTGCTGCTCGGGGAATTCGTGGATATAGAACTCCGTCGGCTTCGCGTCACCATGGAATGACCCTGTTGACGTATGCATATCGGCATCCGTGGTATACATCAATGGTGGTGACCCAGCAGCTGAGAGGCCCTCAGCAGGTTGACGGCTCTGCTCCAAAGCTTGTCCATACGACAGAGATGAAACATCCGCCTGGGTTATTGGGACACGGCTCTGATAGGCTGCCTCTGGTGAGGGCATCGAATTGGCACCCGTCCAACTCCTACCCGTCAAAGGGGCTCCTTCGCAAGTGACATAATCAGGAAATGAAGTATAATGGGCAGGAGCGGACATTGGTGGAGCCACACTGTGGTACTGGTAGGTGGAAAGCATATCCATAGCCAGAGGCGTAGCGGGAGGAGAGGCAATGTTGATTTGCATGGGCTGTGTTGTAGGGAACAATTGGCTGGTGGGTTGGGCAGACAGACAGTAACCGCCATCACTGGGGGTATTTGGAAGGAAGTGATGCAGGTCATCTGGTGTCAGGGGTGTTGGTGGAGCCAGCCCGCCCGTGGTGACGGCGGGCGACAGCATTGATGACATCTCTGGCTTGGAAGTACTCAGAGCCCCAGCCTCGGCAAATGAAGACAGGTTCAGAGGCGAACGCTGAGCTGCAGATGCTTTCCGAACACCTGCGTAGCGTGAGTTGAGACATTGCGCCGATTTCGACTGTCTCACACCAGGTGCAGAGCCGTAGCTTGGGAGCCTTGTGGTCGGTGACATGGACGCCGATCCTGCCAACATGGATGACGACCTCGAAGTACCGATAGCAGCAGGCCTTGGTCGCTTTCTCCGGGCCGCAAGGTCAAGTTCCTTGCCAGCTTCTTTCCACGAAGATCGGTCTGTTCTGATTGGAAGTCCCGCTGCATGAATCCCGATACCTTCGAGGGAGTCAGCGAGGTCATCAGATGAGCCTCGCCTTGACAATGAGCTTTCTGGGTGCAGCGTATATTGAGCTGCACTATAAGAGGCTTCCGCATCGCTGGATGAGTGATAGCTGGGGAAGGATTTTGTTCCTTGTACCTGGCCGGACCACTCCTCGTTCTGTGAGGGCTGGCACTGGAGGGTATCATTGTGCTGCGCATTCTGATGATGAGAGCCGTCTAATTCCGGGACAGTGAGCGACTCGGCGGCAGAGTAGCCAAGATGTTCTTGGGGACTCTGAGATGCGGTCCACGACATCGCAGTCTCCTTTGTGTTTTCCCACTCGGAGAATGGAGTTGTGCAACTGCTCTGGGCGGTTCGGCTATCACCGTGGTTGTTTATGCCTGAGTAGGTTGTCGTCGGAGACACCGAGCCCTCGTGGATGGTAGCAGGTTGACCCTGTTCATCTGGACTATAATGTTCTCGAGCAGCAACAGCGGCATTCAATGCTCGTTGTAATGAAGCAAATGTTGCTTCCCGAGCCGACTCACTCTTTGATTTATGATGCTTCGATCGTGAGTTAGAAGCAGATGTCTTAGTACGGTCATCAGACATGGACTGGTCGGATGATTGTTTCGGGGTATCCTTGTCTGTCTCTTCTTTGACGTCTCCGTTTGATTCGGATCTTTCGGCATTCTCTGTCTTTATCCGTGCAGCCTCCTCGGCCTCTGTCTTCGCCTTCTGCATCCTTTCAAACTCTTCTTGTCGCTTCTGCTGCTTGGCCTTTGCGCGTCTATTTTGGAACCAGTTCTGCATTGATCATTAGCCCAAGGTTAATGGAAAGCGCCGAACGTTGAGTGGGGAATCACTAACAGCAACCCGAGGAAGGCTAAGGTTCGTTTGAGCAGCCAATTGACGCTTAACATTGCTGCTAGGCTTCGGATGAGCCTGGAACTGGGCCTCCAGGGTCTCGACTTGTTCCTTAGTCAACCGTGGACGAGACAAGTTCTCTGCATATTCCTCGTAGTCCATAATGGGCTGATGGTAGAAGTCGATCATGTCAAAAGGTGGGTGCGGATAGATGTAGCCGTCCATTGGGTGCATCATGGACGGGTGAGCCATTGTCGGGTCATAGGCAATGGGCTGTTCCATGGGGACCGCAGCATGGCCAGCATACGCGTATGGGTGGTGAAGATAATTCATGGTTGCGGTTGGCGTGTGAGGGTATTAGGAGGAGGAAGAGGAGATGAGGGAAAGGGTATATATTGAGACCGGACCTGTTGCTGCACAAGATAGCGGCAACTTTCAATGGGTGACGGCTCTAGATCATTGAACAATTGAATCACAAGAGGAAGTATGAGTGGTTAGATTAAGAATGACTTTGGAAGGGGAGGAGAGATAAGCTCTTTTATAAAGGATGATTGTAAAAGTTGTGTGTGTGTGTGTGTGTGGAGTGAGAGAATGACAGGTTGTTGCTGGGTATAGTTTGTGCTTTGCAGTGGTATACAACACAGCAGCAGACCGGATGGATTAAGACAGAAAGAGGGAGAGAATTAATGAATGTATTGAGTCGGACAGCGGTACTAATAAGCAGATATCAGAATAGGGAAAGGAAAGGAACGACTAAGCAGATCGAGAATGAAAGCAAGAAATAGTTAAAAAAAAAGAAAATATAGAAAAGAGGGGACAAAAGAGGAAAAGGAGAGAATGAGGAAAGAAAGTAGAGAGTCCGAGAGAGAAAAAGACTGAAAAGACAAAAAGGGCCCAAAAAAATTAGAAAATAGAAAATCAAAAATAAAAATTAAAAAAAAAAAAAAAAAAAAAAAAAAAAAAAAAAAAAAAAAAAAAAAAAAAGGAAAAGAAATTAAGAAAAGAAAAAAGGGAAAAAGACCAAAAAAAAAATTCCAGACGAGGATTGACACCAGTCACTGGGGACTGAGGAATTTGGGGAGGGGGGAAGGGAAAGGGAAGTGGTGTGGATTACGGCGAATGGAGAGATTGGCAGCGGCTGCCTGGGAAAAGCAAAAGGTGTGGAGGGCCCAATTGTGATTGGAAGATCACCGAGCGGGACCTGAAAGAGGATTCAAAGTGGTTTGGTATCAATGCCGTATTTACCCTCAGCTTGGGTGACCGGGGAATCAGCGCTTCAGCCGTCCTCGCAGCTTCCCGATTTTAGCTTATTTGTTCTGGGCTATTCCTAGGTATGCACGATGAACCCAATCGCTTTGGATTAGTAAACCCAGCACTGAGATAGAATCAGAAAACAATCTCATATATATATATATATAAAATAAATTAAAAAAAGCATTGAACTAAAAAGAAACAGGTTCACGGATTTTGTCTCTGCAGGTGATTCGTCTAGATATCTGTCATCATTGTTTCCCCTGAAGTCATTATCGCCTACCTTATCTACGAACGCATCCATGGTAGTGATCTCAGGCACCCTTCCACAGTGGTAGAGTTGGTTGGTTACCACTGTACGGGAGTACGGACAGTTCAGGTACGGTACCAAACCGAAAGGCACCGACCACCAAAATATTGGCCGAAAGTGGGTTTGTGGTGGTGCCGCTCGCGCGGTTCAAGGGGGTGGCGGCCTTGGGCTCTCTTCCTCTCTCTCTCTCTCTCTCTCTCTCTCTTACAGACTAGTTTAGCAGTCAGGGCTTAAAATAACTCAAAGGGGCATTGAATAAACCAAATACTTAAATGAGTAAATTATAATAATCAACTTCACCATCATAATCATCATCCTCGAAGTAGAACATCATGGACGTGTTAGGTACATACATGCATAGGTACATTACATATGTATGTAGGTAAGTAGCGCTGGACGTGCATCCATTACAGACCCTTATTAGGCAGTGGCACTGTGGCGGTGACTGCGAGAGTCTTCGGCAGAGTCACTGGATGTTCGTGTATGCTGGACGACGGGCCCATCCTAACTGCGTCGTTGTGTGAAGTTTAGTCGTTTTTTCTCTTTTTTTTATTTTTATTCTTGTCTTTCTCGGTTCTTTGCCTGCTTTATCCATGTCGCTTTACTAAATCTTATGGTTGAAAAAATGAAGAATATATTGTTCTTGTTAGATATCAGTAATAGGGCTTCTTTCTTCGTACTTGTCTTTTTCCTCACATTGAATCTACATGTTTCCGATATTTCCAGGTATTCCGTCTGAGTTTGTAGAAGTACAGTTGTAATCATGAGACAATGGATATGATTGGTGGAAGACGGTTAAGTTCAGTACGGGATCTTTCCCGCGACACACCCAAAGTTTAAAAAGGGGGTAAGGCCGAAAGGGAAATCGGCAAATAAGAAAAGGGAAATAAAAGAGATATAGCCAAGGAACACAACTGAAGTACTTTAAGCTTGAGTGACCGTAACTCCTACAAGTGGTGACACCGTCGGCATCCAATCTCACGGGTGTCACCATAATTATGATTCAAAGTGAAACTGGTATCTCCGTAAGTCTCCCATTTACTAACAGAGCTTCGTCAGTTCCTGCATTAGCGCCATAGCCCAGGGACCAACAGATTTAGCTTTACCTAGGGGGCGGGGTCCCATATGGGAATTTGGAAGATCCCGTGAAGCAGAGATATGGGCCCCGAAACAATGCTAAAACAAACCGTCGCCAATAGTGAAGTTGTCCGTTGATATGATGGAGTAAACATGCTATCTACTCCCTACAAGGGTGTGATGATTTTCCAATTCTCCCACACTGCATTGCCAGAGCGAAATCGTGTCAGAGAGCGCATCGGGTATGCGTGGGGAGTGGGTCATACTCCCAATCCTCATCCAATCAAAGTCGGAAGGAAGGTGAAGCTCGCCTGGAAGTCTTCCGAGATCCATCAATGTGCCTGCAATGTCACCCAATGATGGTCTTGCCTGAGGCCAAGATTCGATCACGGGGTCAAGGGTCATCGGGGTCCATCCGTGGGATTTTGGTCATCGGATTTGCTGAAGAGCCAGCCCGTCCGTAAGTTCTGGATTGGGTTTAGCGGTGAGGGACCGCTTGACTCGCAAGGTTCTCTCTGCCAAATTCCGATATTAACTAGGTTATTTGTTTGGTTTGTAGTAAATTCATCAGGGACATCTACATCAAACCACGCCATATATGAAACCCAAAATAAGCAGTTGAGGTCAACTTTACTACAGACTGAAAGCCATCTTTGAAACCTGCCCATCATCTTTGGATTTTCTTTTGCTTTCCCTTCTTTTCTACTTCGTCCCCAGCACATGAGGTCAGGTGGAGGAGGGGATTCCCTCCGGCTAGCCGAAAGAGGGGAAGCTCAAATGCGAAGCACTTGAGCAGAGCAGTGGCGACAGTATGGAGTACTGAGAAGGGACCCTCACAGCACGCTACTGAGGCTTTTTTTTTTTTTTTTTCCGTGTACGGATACCGACTGCATACGTACACCCGCAACAGTTAGCACGGATCTCCAGATGCACCTGTCATCGTTTCCCACAAAGTTCATGGGACGGAGAATCATCCAGTTGGTCTAAGGGAAATCTAAAAAAGAGTGGGAAAAGCAAAAAGGAAATCAGTGGGAAAAGCGTGGCAGCACTCAGGCCAAGACCCACTAAAATCAATAGTCTACAGATCCCGTCGATCACCACAAGGATCTGTTCGATTGTCGAATGAAAACCCGCGACTCGGTTATCTCCTTCCTTTTCCTTCCAAAGCCCTATGGGAGAAGCATGACTGGGCCTTACTTTTCAGTCTCGACATTGGCAGATGCCTGGAAGCACAGGAGATGGAGCGTTCATATTCGAACTCCACCTTTGGGGCCATTTCCGGGTTCCTGGTTTCTGTCAATCACCCACTCTGCCCGAAAAGCCGCTAATCATGATGCAATCCGAACCGCCCACGCCAAGTCACGAGGTTACGCAACAGCAGTTCCAAACGCATTGCCATGCATATGGAGGGGAACCAGACCATGCTAGGGGGAAGACGAACGGAGCGGAGCGGTTCGGTGCTATCATATGTGCTGGCCTTTTTCCACTGGTTTCCCCATTTACCCATCAACCGTCACCTACCTGAGCGGTTAATGCATGTGTCGTTCTCATGGAATACGTTTATCCTACTTCCCTTTTTCTGCTTCGGTTAAGTAATGTGACAGCAACTCAACGTCCATGATTTGCAAGTTCCGGCACCGCGGTACCGTACCCGAAATTTCCAGACGATCTTCGTCAGGCTCTGGAAAAAGAGGGGGGTTGAGTGGACATGACAGACATGGCGTTGGCGTTGGTGGAACCGAAAGAAAGGGGGCGTAACGAACTATCCCACAAAAGTTCTCAGGTCGTAATCGTATGCAAATTTGACTCCCAAGGTAAAAGTACCATTGGACAGTCTTACGGGGCTCTATACAGACAGACATACATACATCATAGCTCGTGATTATCCGAATGGTGAATGGGGCAGGGATCATGGCTGTTCATGGATGCGAACACCTGAAAGAGATCCCCATCGTTCACGTGTATGTAATGTGGGACCTAATTGAGATTGAGAGCATAAACACTTAGACAATAGGTACCCAAGGCGAAGGTATGTATCACGGACCCATTGTGTATCCATTTAGTACACTGTGCTAATACTATAGTCGATGGATAGCAATGGGGTCGGGAAAAATACATGACATACTCCAAGCCCAGGCCAGTTAGCAATCATTGTAGTTCGCCCCCAGTACTAGTATCTTCTTCTATCACCTCTCCAGATGCTTGGAAGCTTCGGAGCCGAGCATTGGGAAAAAAAAAAAAAAAAAAAAAAAAAAAAAAAGAGGAACTACGGATCTCGCTGTAGGTCCTTTGCCTGACCCCTGGGATGATCGCAAACAACCGCACGGATCGCTTCCAAGTGATTTTCAGACGGGTGGGCTCTGTGACGAGCCGTTGTCACCCGATGTAGGGATCTCAAATATTGGCCCCCTTTAAAAGAAATTCGCCGAAGACATCGGCGTATCAATGTGGCTGTCGAGAATGGAAACTGAGGAAGCTGGAGACCTCACAGAACTGTGACGCCCCTGAAGTAAGTCTGACAGTAATGAACCACTAAGTGATCGACGAGAGCATCGTATCCCTGACTTTGGGGTATAAGGTTGGTCTAAACTTGCTTACATACGTACGATCCGACTCCATCCCTTTGGATCGGATTTACCACGCTGATTTCCCATGCGTCAATCTTAATCTCCATTACTTGATGATATGGGGTCATTGTTCACGGATGATGCAACAACGACAATCATCACAGTCACTAGACTTACTCAGGTTAGTACATACCATAGTCAACTTTAGATAGTTGACTAAGGATTACCAAACTGATAGAGATGCAGTATACCGTACGCGTCTTGCAGCGCCACAGGAAACTAAACTTCAGCTGCGTGGCGGTGCTCGTAATATCAGCCACAGTAGCCTATTTTCTTTTGGTTTTTTTGTGTTTTTGCTTTTTCTTGTTTTCCCTTTTTTTTTCGGGTTTTGTGATCTGCTGCAGGGCTTTCCCATCGTCGCATCCGAGGGACTTCCTGGTCTACCTAGTCGTCTCATAGTGCACGGATGAAGTTGAGGAGAATTTGTCAGAAGTTGTCAAATAGTGCCGATTGATATGCACCAATGAGCTCTATTCCTGGGGCCGACTCTTAAGCCACAAACAACGCCTTGAATTTACGTTGGCTTGGCTCTGTCCTTTTGTACGAACGCAGCTCAACGCTCAGGGCCGCTGCCGTTCTCTCTCTCTCTCTCTCTCTCTGTTTCTTTTTCATTTTTCAAAAAAAAAAAAAAATTTACACTTTTGCCCCTTTTAGGCTGCCTGGTGGTTCATTCCCGCTTAGGAGATGTGATGTTATGCTCCACGGGTAGATGCACTGCAGTACTTCGAGGGAATCACACTGCAGTCATTCGAACTAGTATGCGGGTTAAGAATACCCAGTTTCGTTGGCTCTCTCGCCTTTCAAGCAGGTCAGGCACACACCTTTACATCCTGCTCAATCACTTCTCTCAATGAGAAAACTCTACCGGTGTGATTGATACCCCGTCTTCACTCGGTACATTCACATTCGTCCAAAAAAAAAGTCTCAGAAAAAAACGAATGGTAGAACAGAGAACCCACTTCCCGGTGATATCCCTATCCTGTATCGCTATCCCTTGCGTACTCCGAGTACAGTATCAGAAACAAGCTAAAGCCACAAGTACGCAGCACTGGTAGGCTCCAGTCTGTCCCCAATGGACAACGCGGCGGGGATTACGCCGATCACGATCCCTGTTGCTTCCAGGTTAAGGGAAGGGCGGCTGAAATCGACCTGTCTTTTTCCAGAACTCCATCGCCCCCTTCTGTAAACGAGGTGTTTGTCATGGCGTTCTCGGCCTGCAACCCAAAGTTCTTCATCCCATCCCTCGAATCTGTTCTGGAACAGCTCGTGTGGATGCGGATTGCTGCCACAATCCAGTTATTCCCTGTTTAACCCGAATCGCATTTTTGATCGTTATCTGGGATGCTTTTCAAGCTTTCCCTCCTTTCTAGATCGGGTCCGACTTGCGTCTGACGGCCATTTTTACAAGTAATAGGTCTTCTTTTTCTTGCTCAATCTGAGCTTATCGAAACTTGCTAAGACTCGGTTGAGCATCAGGTTGTCGGTGAGCAATGTCTAACCGTATGACGTTTAACTTAAACATTAACTATTCTATGATATATTGCACCTGGATTCCGGAATGAGCAGGACTTTTAAGATCTATCATGCAGGGCAGGTAGGCGGTGATGCCTCGGCAAAGATCTCTCGGTGTAGAGGTCACCTTTCCGAAGGCTCTCCCGGATGGAGCTTGCTCCATATCCTCTATCGTTCTGATCAGAGCCACTTCACACCGCCATCGCTCAAGGTTCGCGATGGGTCTTTTATGGATCCTCGTCTACATCGCGGCGTTTTCTCGCCACGCTCGCCTTCCTTAGTCGGTAGTAATAGTAGTACTTGTTTCTCAGAATCTCGGCCAGACTCGACTCAGCCAGCCTGGAACCGTTTCAGCCCCAGTCGTTTGGCGTTGTTTCATCTCCATTGGGGGAGCTCGAGCCGTCGTTTGGAATGGAGCTTCTGAGCGAATTCTGAGCGAACATCGTACCGTCCAAGCATTAGCGCCATGCAAGGCAACTTCCTTACTTGTACCTACATTTGTACATGTCATATCACCTGAACGGGTCCCGTACTTTGTCTATGTACTTTGGAGTATGCGTTCTAACCTTCTATGTACAACGAAACTAAAACAAAACAAAACAATGTCTACACAACCCTGGGACCCAGTACAAAACTTGGAAAAGAAATACGAAGGTGGAAACCCAGGCCAGTCTAGTCTATCTATTGATCCCATATCTCCCCTTTATTGATATGCATCCCGAATCTCCAACTGAATGCGTCCATCAACCACGCCCTTAACCGAAAGACTTCTCAAGTCCTCCACAATCCAGTCTGCTCCTGCCTCTTGAAGCTGCGCCAGCGAGTGGGTCGTCGTCAGTGCGATCACCTTGAATCCCGCAGCCTTGCCTGCTCTAATGCCCGAGGGCGCATCCTCAAGCACGACTAGCGATGACGAATGTTCCAGGCCGAGGCGCTTACGGCCGAGCAGATAGCACCGCGGATCAGGCTTGCCCAGCTCGACATCCTCCGCGACAACAAGCATTTTCGGATGCGTGAGGTTCATGACACCTAGCCAACCATCGATGAGTGCGCGCGTGCCAGAGGTGACGACACCCCAGCAGGCACCGGCATCGTCGAGCTGCGAAAGGAGGTACCTAGCGCCGGGGATTTCAACGGCGTCGGAGCCAAATTCTTTAGGGATGCGGCCTTCGATAGAGCTGACATCTAGAGCAATCGATCATCAGTCCATGCGCTTCCTCCCTATCCCCCGCCACTCCTCTTATCATCACTCGCTGATATGGATCTCCCCGAAAGCGAGGAACCATGACATGAACTTACACTCCCAATTCGCCCGCTTCGGGTCATACAGCTGCAGCGTATCAATGCTCCGACGTCCATGAGACGTGGCCAGAATAACCTTAGGGTCAACTCCTAGCTCCTCGCCGACCCTGTCGTTGGGTTAGAACCATGTGACTATAGTTCGGCGGGGTCAGACTAACTTGTGCCAGTGCTTCACAATCGCTTGACGAGACACCTAAGTTTAGCATTTCGTCACAATATAGCATCTTTCTACTCAAAGAGATTTTTAATTTCTTACCATCAGTAGAATCGACGATAGTGCCGTCGAAGTCTGAGAGGAGGCCATCAAAAGTGACGACTTGCGGAGGGGCTGAGAATGAGCCTTGGCCTTTAGTCATTGTGCTTATAGATTGACCAGGATATTCAATCAAAATAATAACCAGAAAGAGCGAGCAAAGAAAGAGGCGGGAGCGATGTCTAGAACAGGGTTTCTATGTAAAGTATCACACAACGAAAGAAACGGAGAATTCGGCGGCCCAGACCACAAGAAAGTAAATGGTTCAAATCCCAATAGATAAGAATTCCTTCCTTATGGATCGGGCACAAAATCCGCGGGATGGTCGGAGATCGGTGGTATATTACTCCGGTTATCTTAGCGCGGGTAAAATAGTTTGCACAAAATTGTTCGGACGGCGAGCTTGTGAGATAGAAGAAAAAACTTCTATTACTCCCTTCTACCCTTGGTTTGTGCTTTTTTGTTATTTCAAGGGGAGATTTGTGTAATCCTGTCAATATGGTCAAGCTAGGTAGGCTTTTCACCTTGATTTTCTTATCTGGTTCGAATTTGTATTGACCGTTCCCAAGGCAAAAACTCGAAGCGGACGCCCGTCCGGTTACGGCACAAGATCGAGAAGGCTTCTGCGGCCAAGCAACGGAAGCAGAGAAAGCTTGCCAAGAAGGTATGTGTTTTTGTTCTTCTTTTCAATTGTTTGGTGGAAGAGTTTCAAGTGGTTAATACTATCATTGCAGAATCCCGAATGGCGCTCAAAGATCAAGAAAGATCCGGGTATCCCTAATTTGTTCCCCCACAAGGCTCAGCTTCTTCATGAGATTGAGGAGAGGAAGCGATTGAAGGCCGAGGAACAGGAGCGCATCCGTGATGAAGCGCGCGCTCGCAAGAAGGCACAGAAGGAGTCGCAACAGCAAGGAGACGACACCGAAGACGTGATGGAGAATGATCTTGATCTGGAGGGTGACTTTGACGATGAAGATATGGATGAGGATGCCGATGATTCGTCGAACCCTATGGCTGCGCTACTTGCCTCTGCGCGCGCGAGAGCGGCAGAGTATGATGATCAACATGAGAGCGATGATGATGATGATGAAATGGACGAGGATGACGATGAGGATATGGACGGCATGGATGAGGACGAGGAAGATGGCAGTGCTGCGCCGGGCGATTCGGCTCCCCAGCTTGTTTCACAGACTCACAGCAAGGAGAGCTCTCGGCGGCAATTCGATAAGGTGTTCAAGCAGGTTGTTGACGCTGCGGATGTTGTGTTGTATGTGCTTGACGCTCGCGATCCGGAGGGCACCCGGTCCAAGGATGTGGAGCGTGAGATTATGGCGGCAGCTGGTGGAAACAAGAGAATGATCCTCATCCTCAACAAGATCGATCTTATCCCTCCGCCGGTGCTGAAGAACTGGCTGGTCCACTTGCGCCGATACTTCCCCACCCTGCCTCTGAAGGCCTCCAACGGCACCGCCAACGCTCACAGCTTCGACCACAAGCAGTTGACCGTCAAGGGTACATCAGAGACGCTTTTCAAAGCTCTCAAGTCCTACGCCCACAGCAAGAACCTGAAGCGGTCCATCTCTGTCGGTGTGATCGGTTACCCCAACGTTGGAAAGTCCTCTGTCATCAATGCCCTCACTGCCCGTCTCAACAAGGGCTCCAGCAATGCATGCCCTACTGGTGCCGAGGCCGGTGTCACCACAAACCTGCGGGAGGTGAAGCTGGACAACAAGCTTAAGCTGATCGACTCCCCCGGTATCGTATTCCCGAACGCTGAGAAAAAGAAGACCAAGAAGAAGCAGGTGGAGGAGCGTGCACGCCTCGTCCTCCTGAACGCTATCCCACCGAAACAGATCGAGGACCCGGTTCCGGCCGTGTCCCTGCTTCTCAAGCGTCTCTCTACCTCCGAAGATCTCAAGTCGAAGCTGTTGCAACTCTATGGTATCCCCGCTCTTTTCAGCAGCGGCGACCAGACTCATGACTTCTTGGTCCACGTTGCCCGCAAGCGCGGTCGTCTGGGTAAGCACGGTGTGCCCAACATTGAGGCCGCAGCCATGACCGTGATCAATGACTGGAGGGACGGACGGATCCAGGGATGGGTGGATGCTCCTGTGCTGCCAGTTGTCGCCGCGACAGATGGAGCTTCGGCCCCTGTGGCCGCTGCGTCGGGTGTGGATACGAAGCAGGTTGTCACTGAATGGGCCAAGGAGTTCAAGATCGAGGGTCTGTGGGGTGATGGCGCTGATGAGGAGATGGCGGAATAATCTGGTTTATTTATTCTTGTCTGCTATGGATACATGGATACCAAAAAGGCGTTGCCTGGCTTTTTGTTCTTAAGACGGTAGAATGATGTTCTTCGATGTCAATATCAAGTTATGAGATGGTTAAACATAGTTTCAGTTGACGGGATCTTGTAGATAGGAGATCGCTGCTCAAGAACCCAATATGACAAAATATAGTCTGACTGAATGAATAAGAGGTCGGGGGGGGATGAAGATGGGTAGTCTACTAGAAATTCTGCACGAAGCAAATCCCACTTCCAGTTCTCTTCAAAAAAAACTGATGGTTTTCTGACATGTCCACCCGCAGAGTCCAACCTGGATATATATCTTCACCCAGACATACTACAATACACACAAATATATAAGGACTATACAACGAAACAAACCATAATAAATAAACCATACCAATTACTACACAAAATCCAATTTATCATGATACAAGTACTAAACCATAAATACTATCAATAACATCAAGTACCATTTATACCAGTAGCACTGTAGTTGTAACAGTAACCCCCCCGCAGGAAAAAAACAAAAAAAAAAAAAAGTATGCAAAACCCACCAATTGATAAGATTTAATTTAATCAAACCAAATGATGAATTGCCACCGCTCTCCACGCGCCTCCGCATCGCGTCGCGTTTTTTTTACCCTTTCATCTCAATTTCCTCCTTCAATTTCAGGAACCAACGAAAAACCAAGGACAAAGATCGATTTTACCCTAATCGATACCTCTCCCAGAGTCATCCATACCTACTGGAAAGCCAGGAAAAAGAAGAAAGCAGCAATATCATCACCCGATGCCCACCTCCACCCTCCACATCTAATCCAACAAAAGAATTATAACCAAACCAACCACCCAACAGCAATCCTGAAAACAAAAGAAAAAGAACCCCCCCCCCAAAAAAGATAACATCAATAATGCCACCCCGGAAATCCACGGGCGAAACCGTCGAAGACCCAGCATCCTCACCACAAGTCCAGACGCAATCACCGCCTACACAATCGCAACCGATTCAAGCGACAGAGCAACAACTTAAGGCGAGGGCTGAGGGGGGTGTTAGTATTGAGGTTAGTTGAGGATATAAGATTTCAATTTTCTCTCTGCTTCCCTTTTTTTTTTTTTTTTTTTTTTTTTTTTTTACGTTGCTAGATTCGTTTTGCGGTATATCTATTATCTACGAGGTATTGGATATAATAACTAATACAAAATGCAAAATAAAAGGACTATCTCCTCCCTCGCTCCCTAACACTTCGACTCGCGAAATCGGTCCTCCCACCTAACACCTCCATCCAGAAGGATGCAGTCCTCGCTATCCAGAAAGCGGCAACGGTGTTTGTGTCATATCTCTCTTCACAGTATTATTTCCCCCCTTCCCCTCCCCCCCACCTTCTCTTTGTCCTTTCTTGCTTCTGTGTTGGATGGCCAAGGTATGTTGTGATTAGTGGGTATATATGATGGCTAAAGTGTGCGTCTGTTTTTTTTCTTCTATAGTGCCAATGAAGCGACTTTGAAGCGGACGGTTGCGCCATCGGACGTCTTTAGTGCGATTTCGGAATTGGAGTTTGATGGGTTCCGGTCGAGATTGGAGAAGGAGTTGGATGCGTTTACGGAGTTGAAGGCCGGGAAGAGGAAGGCGAAGAAGGGAGATGCTGAGGCAACTGCTGCGGAGGGCGGGAAGGGGAGTGCTGTTTCGGAGGGTGGTGCTGCTGCTTCGAGGGGGGTGAAGAGAGTGAAGAGGGTTGAGGGTGAGGAGGCTGCTTCTAGTCGGCCGGAGGAGGGGGATGATGGGGATGAGACGCAGGATGAAGCGGAGCAGGTGGATGAGCATGAGCACGAGCATGAGTCGGAGGCCGAGGAGGAGGAGGATGAGGGTGAAGAAGAGGAAGAAGAGGAGGAGGAGCCGGGCGAGGAAGAGGATATCGATCGGGTGGAGGACTTGGATCGTGACTCGAGGGCGAAACGGGTTATGGACCCCGATGCTGCTGGGGATGAGTCGGACAGTGAGGACGATGCTGGGCCGTCGTCACAGTTGAGAGGGGACTTGGGGTTGGGTTGATTTTCTGGTAGCGATTATGGTTCTGTTGCTAATCGATAGATTGTTTGTTCTACATTACATGTATGAGTCGATGTTAATTATTGAGATGTGCAAGAATGCCGATTCATTTCCAAGCATATGGTATGGATGATAGATAATGCGACAATGTATACCAAACTCCACAATCGACAACAACCTAAACGCCGACCCGAAGGACCAGATACATGATCATCATCCCATAAATTATACAAAGCAGACGCGTATCGTCTGAACCACCATTCATAGTACAGCACCCCAGTCGAAGCAGCAGGAGGCATGCTGTTTCTCTCCCATACCCATTGCCCACAAAACGCCATTGCAACATGCATAGTCTATCCTGGTATCTTGACAGTTCAACTGACGGGCCCTAAGGTAAAATAAACAGAAAAATAATAATGACGAAGAATAGAAGAAGATAGACTAAAAATGACATGCGACCAGTGCCATGCAGTCATGCGGCCGGCTGATTTAACAACTGACTCATCCCGTTCGGAACAGACTTGGGGGAGATCGTGTCTGGTTGGCGCCAACGACTGCTGCGTTGGGGGGTCTCTTCTCCCTTCTGAGCCACCTGAGGAAGCATTGGGCCATTGTTGCGAGCCGCGCCCGGGGGCAGTGGGTGCATTGGCTTGTTTTCCTCTTTCTCCAGCTTGACCGCTTTTTCCGAGTCGGTCGCGACCTTCTGCGCCTTGGTCACCTTGCTGAAGGTGGTAATCCGGGAATTCTTGGCCGGCTCGTCTTTCTTGGTCTTCTTGCGAGGGGCACTCTTCTTTGCGGCTGGCTTCTTGGGCTCTGCGGTCTTCGACGCCTTGAGCACTTCCTGGAGGCTGCGCCCGCGACTGGCAGGATTGGACCGAGATCTGGCCGGGCCCTTCTTCGGTACTTGTGAAGCCTCCTCGTCGTGACTGGAGGAAGGCGTGAGGAAGCCCGTTTGGGTCTTTTGCTTCTTCTTCGGCGTTTCGATGACAATCGACACTCCATGCTCGTGTTTTGCGCGCTCCACCTCAGATGCATTGCATTCATCGAATACATTCTCGGAGTGATCATCCCATCGTTTCAGGGCGGCCAGCCGCGCCACTTCCTCACAATCCCCCTTGACCATCAAGTCCCAGCAATCTTCAAACTCTTTACCGGCCGGGGGTTCATTGTTGATCCACATGGTCACCCCATTTCGGCGACTCCGGATGACGGAACAAAGGCTCTTCACCAGGCGCCGCACGCCGGGAATTTTTAGGCTAGTGCCCACCACGATCAGCGCGTCTGGGCGCGAACGTACATCAGCATTCATGACCGAAGTGATGGCTTCCTCATCCGGGTTATGTTCGTTGTAGAGCACGATCCGGGGCCGCATTTTACCGATGCCATGACTGCGCTGCCCCGTCTCGATGCGGAACTGGTTGTTCCTTGCGCATTCTGGACATTCCGGAGCATCTGGACGATCGAACATGGCGCCATCGAAGTCACCGAGATGACGACATTTTTGGCACACCATCTTCTCCAGGCTTCCGTGCAACTGGATGGTGCGCGGCCATGGGGCCTTCACATTCAATGGGATCTGAGTGGCCAAGGGAGGCATCGAAGTCTCAATGCCATCAATGTTCTGGGTGTACAGGCGGGTCAGACGATTTTCTTGGCTGAGCCGAGCCAGCATGTGGTGAAAAGCCGTTGGGGAGGTCTTGGCAGCCTCTTCGGACAGCGACCGCACCATGTCTTGAAAGGAGGCGGTTAGTGTTTCATCTTGATAGACGGCAGCATCAAAGAGTAGTTTCCCCGATGCTTTGAGGTTATGTTTTTTCTGTAGAGATTTAAAGAGCCCATCCGTGGAGCGGAAGTCGGGAACTATATGGCAGCAAGAGATATGATTAGCGCAGGGACGAGTGGTAGACAGGGAAGATGGGGCTGCATACTGCCGGCCGAGGTGGAGATGCCCGCTCCAGCGATGACGACAATTTTGCGGTGCCGACGAATGGTTTTGGTTAACAGATCGATCTGCGCCTGCTGTTCAGTATAGGAAAGTCCAGCGCTGCTGGAGAGATCTAGCCGTTGTGTTTGGCGTTCTTTGGGGGCGGCGACCCGTCTTTTTTTCCTAGCGGGCGGCAAGTCATCTCGGTCTTGGCTGCTGTTGCGGGTGCCGCTTGACTCATCTGCTTCCTGTGACGGAGGCGGCGACGGATAAAACCCCGGTGGTGGTGTCGGTGAAGCTGGCGGCGAGCTCAGCTCGGAGACGTCGGAGAATCCATCGTCCATGGCGTGGGCGTAATATTTATCCGTGACAATTATTAAGAAAAATATATAATAATAAAAAGGTTGTATAGAGTCACACGGGCCGTGGGAGGAGGAGGAAGAGAGAAAGGAAGAAGAATGATGTGGTGGTGGTTGAAAGGGCTGAGGTGTCGTGTTGGAGAAAGAGGAGAAAAAGAGGAGACAAGCAAAGCAGAGCTTTCACCACAAAGAATTGCTAATTGCTACCCTGATTCAAAATCAGAGAGAAAAGCGACCACAATTGGAACATCAATTGCTTGGAGGACCCCTCCGAAATTGAACCATTCGTTGGATTAAAAAATCTCTTCCTGTTTTTTTTTTTTTTTTTTTTTTTAACCCCTTTGCGTTTTTTACCTTTTTCTTTTCTGGATTTGCGGAACTAACTCCCTTGTCTGGGTGGTAGGAGGTAAGGGGAGAGAGAGGAAGAAGAGGAGGAAGAAAAGAAGAAGTCGACGACGATGACCAGAAACACGTCGACGGATGGGGGTCGAGAAGAGGGTGGGTTGAATGAACGCAACCGTAAGAGTGACTAAGAGACGATCGAAGGGGGAAAAGGGAAAATCATGAGGTCAGGGCGGGAGAAGGGAAAGAATAATTTATGGCAAAATGGCACAGCGTACGAGAGTCAGTCGTCGTAGTTCTGGTTCAACTCTGCTGCTCTCGCTTGGTGCCGATGCTGTGTTTATTTTGACTGACCCACGGGATGGAACACAATCGCAGCAGTGATACTGGAGGACCAACGGGAAACCCTAACACCCCAGGTTGACAGACGTCAAGACTGGCAACGGGAGGTATGTTGAGAGGAATGCAAGTAGCGATCGTTGATCTACTGGTACTGAGTACCGGACAGAGAGCACAGGTTCTATGGGATCCAATATAAGAGGTCCCTGGTTTATGAAGGAGAACCTCTTGTTTATGTCTTGACCTCCAATGTGAACTAACAAATCTGCTACCAAATTTAGCGCGAAATCCAACATGCAAAGACCACTAGGAGTAATCGGGTTTAGCCTTCTAGAACCTTTAGCCGCAGAGCAGCAGCTGATTGGTCCGTCCCCACGTCGAACCTGCTGCAACGAACTGCAGCACCTATAAGGTTCTAGATATACCACTACTTAAATAGCACCTAGCCTTCTGGCGTATGGCTTTTCAAATTCTTTTGTAGTCCGATCTCGTATCTCTTGTGCTTAGTTGTCCGTCCGATGCAGGGCAGCGTGTGCCCAACCCAGCGACGGGGTGACATGTCTCCAACTCCTCACCCCCTTTGATCCATGCAGCTCTACCGATAATATCCCGCACATGAGAACACGCAATTCCACGGAATTGGGTCCATTTCCCCGGACTAGGACGGTCGCTCCTCTTATTCGCTCTTGAAACACTCTAAGTGACCTGGTTTTATTGCTAGACTTTTCCTTTTGTGTGTCCACCTCCCTCAAGGGTCTCGCCACGGCTTCCTTTGGCGAACAGCTACGCTAATAAATGTTTGCATTGTAAAAACATAAAACTATCATTGATTCCGCTACATTGCATCATCTATAGCTGAATTGGTTCATGTTATCAAGGGAGATGCCGTGCTCCTCCGTTTCCACTCGTTATCCGTTCACGGCACATTGCAAGGGTAGATCATTGTATTATGCACTTGCCACGTCTCGGCCCCTCTATTCCCCATCTAACCGGTAATTCCCAGTAAGGGACAGCCGTACCATGCAGTTGTGTGTCAGCATATGGCTCTCATGGGAAGATTGGGGGTCGGCGGGGAGGTAGTATAGAAGTAGGGCTCGGGATGGGTGGGGATGGCGATGATTGGTTTATCTGGTTGACCCGGATACCGTGATCACCGGACCCCACGTGATCGATGACTAAGCCAGCCGTTGACTCCACATGGAATTGAATGTGTGATCGATGAAAGATTGAGCGAGATCAGAAATGAATGATAATCTTGGTTGAAGAAAGTGTATAGAGGCCGCAGGATGTGGATGCGCACTTTTCGTGTTGGTTCCAATTGAGTTAGGCTTGCTGTTTCTTTAGACTTCCGTTTGGCGTGGCCTGTTCTTAGTATCGCTGCGGGCTCTGACATCTATCGCCCAGGAACAGACGCCCTTACTATGATATCGACCGGACTATCATTCTAAAATATTCTCGGGAAGTTAAAGGCTACACATTCCTCTTTTATGAATAATATATGCGATTCCCGAAATCATGCCAATGATCATGGACGGCGGCATCAATGTTGACGATTTGTTTGGCGAATCTGCCTCTCTCGAGCTGGGCTTGCCAGCGACCGCCCCTACCTCGAATTCCACCAAAGGTCTGGCTCAACGCCTAGATGAGATGCGACTTTTGGGGTGCTGCCAGTACGTCATATGCCTCTATCCTTATAGCGATCCCGCTAGTTTGTACAGAAACTTACTAGGTGTAGGAAGATTGCCTGGTCTAAACAGGGCTGCATTGCATATATCTCTCAAGATACATTGAGGGTGAACCTCCGTCACCTGGAATGTCGACCATCTGATGGCAAGTGGGTGCTGAGCGATGACACTCCATTGCACCCAGTGGCAGAGGCCCATGGGGGCCAACCCCTCGTTCACCTATGCTGGAATGAGATTGGGTCTGAATTAGCCGTGGTTGACTCGTCTGGACGAGTTTCGATTTATAATATTGCGATTTCTCTTAACAGTCTAGCTGGACAACGTCAGGCAGCATTTGATCCAATCGATGATGCAGCTCAGATTGTCGGCGTTATGTGGCTGAACATTCAACGTTCCGTAAGTGCCCACTTTCTTGTTTCTCTCATGTTTGGTATGGCGCTCAACTCCCTCCAAGGTTCATGCGTTCAATGTAGCAGCAATGGTACAAGGGCGCCGAGCATATTCACCTTTTCGACGTCGCCCAATAGGCCCCTTTCACCCAGCTGGGAAAGCCGCTTTGTTATGTGTCACCAGATCTGGCATCATCAGGCTCTTGTACCAGAACCCTGACAACAAATGGGCAGAGATTTCTGCAGAACTGAAGAATGCGAGCTACTCCGACCGACTTCTTACTCATGCGGCTATAGTGGCCACTCAGAATGGAATTCTCATCGCGACATACTCTGCATGTCAAAAGATCTACTTCTATCGAGTGCAGATTAACTGGACTCCTCCGCAATGGGATCCGAGCCAGTTAAAGCAGGCACCAAACCAATTCCCAGTTCCAAGCTTTCGCTTCATGCATTCTAAAGTTGAGGCTCCTTGTATCGTACCAAGTGCATGCCGCAGCGGGGAAGCCACCAACGATGGGTTACCATCCTCTACCAACCCACTGTATTGCCTCACCCGCCTGGATATAGTCCTCGCCGCACATGATAATTCGGCAGGGATGACTACGAATCCGTGGATACTGGCGGTTTTCTCGATCCCCCCTCACGCTACTCCTGATCACTCACAGCAACAGAGCCCCTGCAGTATCATTGTCCGATGGCAACTAGACTCTGCTCCACAGGTGCTTCACCCAAAGTTTGACGAGGTGACTTCAAAGAAGAATAATGCGCAAATCAAAGTAAGTGACTCAAGGTTGACTGCTGGTGCGCTTTGCTGATTGCCGACTAGCCAAAATCGGTGCTACGACGACTGGAAGACATGTACTGTGACAGATACGTCACTATGATAGAGCAGACAGAACATGGAAACGTACTAGCGGTCACGTACGATGATAGTTCGGTCACTTTCTATGATCCAAAGACGATGGCCGTCTTGAATGGAACTGATGATACGAATACACTGACTAGCTTAGCTCATGCAGGATTCCATTACCCCCCTGACTCTGCAGGTACCTTCCCCTCAAGATAACACGATGGCACGAAGGTTGACGCTTCTATAGCAGGTCTACACATCAGCTTCTCCCCCAGTGGCTGCAACGCTGTCACACTGGATGGAGAAGGGCAGGCGCAGCTACGAGTGATGGAACACTCGTATGGCGCGGAAAATGGACTTTACGATGAAAGTATGTCTTTTACGCTCAATGATCTATGGTTATATCTGACATCATTCAAGATAAATTCTCTGCTGCTGTTGCCTCTTTGACCTTGGCATTCTGCCGCGGATGCGGAAGCGAGTTTAACACGGATGATATCTTGTTAATTTTGAAACGGCAGGCGTCACCTGGTTAGTAAAACCTCTACACTTGACTGGATCCCAGGCCTAACTATTTAGAAAGATGCGCAAATATCTTTCATTAACGAAGTTTACCGCGCGCTGGGTGTCAACTGCAATTATACACAAGAAAACGACAAATTGATGAGCCATCAGTACCTGCCAAAATGCCTCAGCGTACAGGCCGCGCTGGGGTTCATTGATAAATACAAGTCGCGGAACTTTGCATCTAATGTACCTTGGACAATTCTGCAGCTTCGTCATGCTTCGGTCTTATATGCGTTGTTCCTGCAGTATCTTAAAGGAGGTGTTCAGGCAGAACCCCCCGATGCAGGTAAGATTTCGACATGCGGGAAATATACTGAATTTTCTCTGACTGTAAGATCTGATCCAGATGCTATACGCATTTTACTCGGAAATACGAAATGGGCTCTGGACTTGTTACATTATGTTTTGAACGATCTTCTTGACCTCGCAGATGATCTAGAGAGCTTCCTTTCTGATCAGGAGGCCTTTGCTCAAAAATGTCAGTATATCGTCCCTTGATTTGAACCTCAAACCAGAGCCATGACATCGATACTGATACTGTTTGTGGCAGTGAAAACCATAAACTCTCTACCCTTGATCATCCTCCTGTCTAGTATGTCCCGGGCCTTCCTGCGCTTCATCTGCCGCGGTTTGCGAGGACTGCAGGCCGGCTACGCTACTGCACCTCTGACGGGCGATGCTGGCGTCTACTATGCCGAAATCTATCAAACCTTAGACACGTCCCCTGTGCGAATCGACGTGTATGAGAAATTGCTTGCTGGGGTGGACTCGACCGTGCGACATGTCTATCATGGCGCCGGGTTTGGAGACAATGAACGACCGGGACCTGAAAAGGAGCTCTTAGTCAACGGCCGTATCCCCCCTGTTCTTGTTGCAGCAGTCTCTACTATTCTCCGACAGACAGTCCCCGCGCTCAAGCCTGAGATCGATCGTATGGCTATCTATATGGGAGACTACAGTTGGCTCGGCCTTGGATCCGACCGACGTGCAGAGTTGTACCGGAGGACCCGGGATGTGGATATCATCAAAAAGATTCCTTTCAGAAGCACGGCGTCTGCGGGCTCGGACGAGGCTCAAAGCGGAAAGCACAGTCCCAGCCAGGTGCGCAGACGATGCGTCCGTTGTTGCGAGATTATGTGCGGTGCGTACCCGCCACGCCCACAGTTGTCGTCACGCATGATGTACAAGTTGGGCTATGTACGGTATTGTATTTGTGGAGGAGGATGGACTTTGGAGTCGGACCTCCACCGCTAGACAAATCATCCGTGGTGCTCGGTTGTTCTAGTTTAGTAGGCTAGAGATTATTGTAAAAATCTTTGAAATATGATGTGTAATATCTCGATTAACAGTGCCGCCTTGGGGTTATAAGGACCAGTTTAATAGAGATCGGAGGACTACGTGGTTGTGTATGAATACGATGATAGCGCAGACTCCCGGACCAAAATCATTCCTGACTGGATTTGCTCCTCGCAACACCACCATATAATTCCTATTGAGCATAAATGGTACTGCATGGAAACGAGTATCGACCAGGAAAGACCCCTTCTCGAGCCATCGCCCCTAAGGAATTGGATTGTCGGATTCTTAAGGAACTCGTCACATCACGGTCGCAAGTCGTGCATTATCATTGTCATGTCAAGTAAAGCCTTCATTTAATATCGACTTGCATCTTTTTTCTAAGATACATAATCAATTTCTTTTAAAAGACGTTTTTGGTGCAACCGACCCACACAAGGTGGTCCAACCCGTCATCTTTATAACGACGTTCCCGGAACTCCATCTAAATCCAGACACGACCCGACTTCATTTAAGCCTGTTCGAACAACCGATCAGCACTGGTTCACTTTTTCCGAAGAGAATGGTCTTCCCCGCTGCGAGCGTAATCTCGTCGGGAAGATGACTGCCTCATACCTTAACAGCGTACTTGCGCTGGGGGAAGTGGATCTCGCGCTTCTTCTGTCTCTCGGTCTTGAGGGAGGCCTCGTGCTTGGTAAGGCGGCGACGGAGAGCACGGGTAAGCTTGGGGCGGAGGTCGAGAGGGAGGTACTTCTTGTTCTTGTAGAACAAGCGGAGCTGAGCGCGCTGGTTGGCGTTGATGATGGTGTGGACACGAGCAATCGACTTGCGGACGTCGTGGCTGTAACAGATTCACAATCAGCATTTTCTTGGTCTGTTTCCGTTTCCCCTTTGTAGTTTGTGCAAGTTGAAAAAAAGAAGAGAAAATTTGCGCAGTCGTTCCAGTTCCTCCTCTTTTCAAATCAGACGTAGAATTTTCGCCTCCTTTCCCTTCTTCTTCCATCTAGCGCACATATTCTTTTGTGGTATTGGCGTAACCAGGTGCAAATAGGGATTTTCGAAAAAGGAAAAGTAATTTCAAACGCACATTCTCTGGGTCTTCGACGAGGCACCGCCAGTGATCTTCTGGACGCGGAGCTGGCTGAGCTCCTGCTTCAGCTCCTCCAGCTGCTTGGTGAGATCATCCTTGTTCTTTCCCCAGAGCTGACCAGCCTTGACCTTGGAAGACTATCGACGAAACCGTTAGCAACCCATTAATTCGAACGCGAAAAATTCACCAGCATCGTTATCATCCTGGCGCAGCGCAACATACCATGGTGGGCGGTATTGTCGTGTCGTGCGGTTGTCGACGAGAGGATTGAAGATGGACCGGGTCAATTTGGGATGTTCGTTGTGGGACTAGGGTTATTTTTTTCTTGCGTGTGGTGCGCCGCCGTAAGCGGGCACGTGATAGAACTGTGGCTGGTGCGCGGTGATGACGCCGCCTCCGCCTCCGCCTTACCGGACTTGGTGATGGGAGCCGCGGATGCTTTTTGGGTGATGCTTTTGCCTTTCGTTTCCCGCTGGTCGGTCACTTTAATACTCAACTGTTCTTTTAAGCCGGGGGATTTTTTTTTTTGGGACGGCGAAGATCTTCTTAGCCTTAATTTGGGAATTTATATTCCTTGACCTCTCTGTTCATTGATTCATAGATCCTAATACTCCTATCTTGACCTTAACCTCGTATACTTCTATACCCACTACTCCATGGCTGCCTCAACAGGTACCGGGTGGGCTCAGCTCCGGCAGCAAGCCCGCTCTCTCGAAACTCAGGTACGGACTGATTCAAACCAGAGGAGTCCTGGAAACCGCACTAGCGAACATAGAACAACATATTAACCCATAGCTCTTCTAGACTGAAAGCCTGTTCCACTCCTACTCGCAGTATGCGTCGATGACAACCCTCCCCCGGGACCCATCTGAAGAAGAACTCCGACTGGAATCACAATTAAAAGGATTGCTCGAAAAGGTACATTCTCAAATACACCATCCTTTCCCCGACCGAACGTCTCACTAACTCCCAATACCAGCGCCAAGCCCTCGTCTCCCAACTCGCCCGTCTCCTCGATTCCGAAGCCACCCTGACCTCCTCCGCCCTGAAGCAGAATAACCTCGCCCGCCATCGTGAAATTCTCCAAGACCACCGCCGCGAACTCCAACGTCTCACCGCCGCCATCGCAGAATCCCGCGACCGCGCAAATCTACTCAACAATGTCCGCTCCGATATCGATGCCTATCGAGCGTCGAATCCCGCCGCCGCCGAAGCCGACTACATGCTCGAGGAGCGGGGTCGGATCGACCAAAGTCACAATGTGATAGACGGCGTCTTGAGCCAAGCATACGCCATCAACGAGAACTTCGGGCTTCAGCGCGAGACGCTGGCCAGTATTAATCGGCGTATTGTTGGAGCCGCTAGTCAGGTGCCGGGGATGAATGCATTAATCGGGAAGATTGGATCGAAGCGGAGGCGAGATGCGCTTATCTTGGGGGCCTTTATCGGGTTCTGCTTTTTGATGCTGCTTTGGTTCCGATAAGTGCATGGTGGTTCCGCTTTAGCTTGGTGTCAAGATCTCTACTTTAGCGGTGTTATTTTCTTGTTTCTTTGTCATTTATTTTACCGCTGTCTATAGTGTGTGGGCGTTATGGGATTGGGCACTTTTACTTCTGCTAGACATGAGTTGTTAATTCGTGGGTTTCTTGTATGATCTGCTTGATGTATAGGGGCGACCCAAATCATGGTTATTGATGATCTATATCGGTCGATTAAGGTGCTGATCTCCGTCATACACTGGGCTGTAGCTGAGCATGGTGAAAGTGAATGGGGTAATCCGTAATATGATACATATGTATATACATGATGACTTTTTTTTGCCCCTCAAGGTCTCATGACAACCCGGGGCTTTTGAGCTGCCGACCAGCTTTGACTCTTCCTTCCCCACTCTGCAGCAGGTAACTCAGACTCCATACTGATTTTGTTCTCTTGAATCAGTTTGCGGATTCCGTTGTTAAGTGCCTCGAGCTCATGTTCTTCTGCAGGCCCGCTTCCTGCCCACCGAATGCGACAATTTTCATCCAAGAGATAAACATATCCAACCTTGCTGTTCATCATTCCGATAGACTCCTTAACGCCTTCTGTGACACCTTTGCGAACCAGGAAGTAGCGCCTATGTTGCTGTTCAGGCAACTTGTTCCGCATCCGCCACATAAATCTGCGAACCAGCCATGCCTTGAGGGCATTCTCTTCTAAGTTGATATCCACCTTCTGAACCATATCGCCACCGCTCTTGATCGCCTCATAGAGGCCTGGATTCTGTTCAGGACCCGTGAAAGTCGCAACCTGCGTCTCTGCCCAAACACTAGAGAAAAGATTCACGACGGAAATTCTGCCCCGAAGCTGCGTGGTGGTATCCTGCGGTTCCTTGGGCGATGCAAGTGTGGTACCGTGCATGTTGGGGAAGTAGAGCGCCTTGTCTCGTTTGAATAACCGGGGACCGGAGTAGAAGGTCTTCCCTTCGTGATGGCGGAGGTTCGACCATTCTCGGAAATAGGGTTTTGCGACTTGTCTTGTTCTGTTATTGCATACATATCGAATCAGTAAATGGATTTAGAACGACTTGGGAAGACTGGAGATGGCCATACAATTCTTTGCGACGCTCCAGATGTCTATCATAGTTGACAAAGTCGTCTCGTCTTTGCCGGAGAGTTCGCGAATCAACACCGGTGTTCTGTCCTTCTTGCGGAGGAATCACCGAACCAATTGGACGGTCGAGGGTCGGGGGAACGAAGTCATCGTCGCCGGGTTCGGGGGTCGCAGAAGGAGCTGATGACGGGGATGGGTTCTGTTTAAATTGGACCTTATTATTCGCCGTTGGATTGGGTACAGCCGTCTTTGCTGCTTTATCATTGTTACTGCTGCTTGCGTAGTAGCGCAGCGCCGGCTTTACTCGAATAGTTGAAGTGGCAGCGGCATTGCGGAATTGGCAGCTGAGACAGCGACCACCCTGGAGCAGAGTGGCCTCTGAGAAAGATGATAGAAGCATAGATCGCTTCCACATTTTGATTGACGAACAATGTCGATTTCAACAGCGGTGGTTGTAGACTCGGTTTATCTGCTTCGGAAGATCCACATGCTTACCTTCCGGGAAGTTAAATTGAGAGCCCACAATCCCGTGACTAGGCGGCATTTTCGTGTCTCTCCCCACGCGTGGTTGCCTTCCGGCGTGTTTCTTGCGTAGAGTTCCATGTCACTTACTACTTGCTGCGATTTGATTGAAGCATTGGTAATATACGTATATAAACCGTCACCTGCTTGGCAGGTTCGGGATTTATCCATGGCTCTACGGATTCCAGAGGACATGACATCGACCTCATATGAGCCCGGAAATGGTGCAGAACACCTCGGACAAAGAGGCCTTTTTCCAAGGACTTGAGAGGCTAGATGCCTTGTTGGATGACTCAGGTGATGATGCCGACGAGGGGTTTTCTCAGATTATAGCACTGGCGAATGACTATGTTGAGCCTGTTCACCAAGTCGAGCCTGCTCCTTCCGATTCACCGGTACAGAAAACAGGTGTATTGGGAGCAACTTCCGCTTTACAATCACCTTCACTTGATGTAATGGACCATGGAAAGTGTGGAAACACATCTATAGTTGTCATTGAAGAGATACAGGCTCCTTCTGTGAAAGGATCAAGTATCATGGGAGCTTCGAAGAAGAAAGTCGACGGCAAGAAAAAACGAACATCTACTACGAAAATAGTTGCGGAACAGCATCAAATCTTCAAGGGCCTCGTATTCTGTTAGGGATCAGTTTCATTTTGTTTAAACGTTACCATCTAGTCTTCATTGTGCTGACTGGCCTTTCAGTTTTCTTCCCGAATAGCGACGTTTCTCCTTTGCGGCGGCTGCGCATCCAGCGAGCGCAGGAGTATGGTGCTCTTTGGGCTCGGAATTGGAGTGATAGTGTCACACATGTAATAGTCGACAAAGGTTTAACTTTCCAGGAGGTTCTGAGACATCTTTGTTTAAAGACGTTTCCGGTTAGTCTAGGCATGTTGTTTTTACTTGTTCCACTTGCTGACTTTGATGAAGTCGAACATTGCCCTCCTCGATGAGAGTTATCCTTCGGAATGCATTAAGTTTAGAACGGTCTTAAGTACATCTCATGTGCGATTCCGGATAACTGGGATGCCGGTCGTCTCAGAAGCAAGGGAGGCGTCCCAGCAAAATGAACCCTCGGATGAGTCCTTGCCGTTGAAGCCAGCCGGCAGACAACAGCGACAGCTTGAAACCCAGTCGCAGTCATCTGAGAGCGAAGACGACTCGGAATACCAACCCGATGCACAAAAAGTCGACGGCTATCCAGACGAGGCCCATAACGAGGTGTTTAATGAGCCACTTCGTGGACGCGATGCCCTGGATGACATGATTGATGAAGCAAAAGCCGTGAAGGACTTGGTACGGTTAACTTGTTTTATTTCTTAAAAAAAAAGTATGCTGAACCATTAATGCAGCCTTTGGAGCCACTGGATTCCTTTGATGAACACCCAACTGAAGTGGCCGACTTGGGAACTTCCGAAGAATCGGACTGCCAGCCAAACACGCGAAAGAGAAAAAGAACATCAAGACGGGATAGCGAAAGGAAAGATGATTGGCAGCAAAGGTTTGCATGCATGCAAAAGCATGATCCCAAGTCGAACTCTGAGAATCCCAACTGTCGGACCATTGATGTCCTTCAACAGATGCTGGACTATTATGCAAGGACTGATGACCACTGGCGAATGCTTGCCTATCGCAAAGCCATCTCCGCTCTTCGGGGGCAGCCAACGAAGATTCTCACGAGATCACAGGCAATCACTATCCCAGGAGTAGGACCGCGCTTGGCGGATAAGATCGAGGAAATCGTGTGCACAAACCGGCTCCGTCGCTTAGAAAATGCCAATCTTACGCGCGAGGATATCATACTTCAGGAGTTCTTGGGTGTTTACGGCGCTGGGATTTCGCAGGCCTCCAAGTGGCTTGCTCAAGGCTACAGATCACTAGAGGATCTAAGGATTAAAGCCTCCCTGACCCCTCAGCAACAAATCGGTGTCGATCACTACCACGATTTCTCTCAACGGATCCCGCGAAAGGAAGTAGAGACACATGGCGAGATCGTTAAAATGACCGTGCAAAAGGCTGACCCTGGAATGCAGGTCATCATCGCTGGGTCTTACCGACGTGGCGCTGCTGACTGCGGAGACATCGATCTGCTAATCACCAAACCGGATGCGACGATTGAGCAGATTCGTGCCCTAATGATCGATGTGGTAGTCCCGAAACTCTTCAAACGGGGCTTCCTGCAAGCTAGTTTGGCGATTACGTCGCGAGGGGATGGGTCTAAATGGCATGGCGCATCTCTAGCTCCGGGCAGCCAGATCTGGCGACGGATCGATCTTCTTTTCGTACCGGGCTTGGAGATTGGCGCTGCACTGATTTACTTTACTGGGAATGACATTTTCAATCGAAGCATCAGGCTATTGGCTAGCAAGAAAGGCATGCGATTGAATCAGCGCGGACTATATACGGATGTACTGCGAGGTCCGCAGCGGGTGAAGCTGAATACCGGTCGGCTGCTTGAAGGTCGCGATGAGCGACGTATTTTTGAGATTCTGGGAGTTCCATGGCGTCCTCCCGAACATCGTGTATGCTGACGTGCCCGGACCTTTTTGGGTTTTGTTCGCGTTGTTTCGGAAACCGGTAATGCTTTCTGGGAGTACGCTTAATGACAGATAACATTTGATGCAATACTAGTACTTTTTTTTTTATTGAAATAAATAGCTTTAGTTAATACACTTTCGCTGTTCCGCTTCCAGACCGACTTCTCATTATGCATGAATTCGCTGTAGTGTCTGCAGGAATGTTACAAGGTTCTTTATGGGGTATATATGGAAGACTAAGTATGACGCTGGCTCAAGAGGTCTGGATCATGATGATGATGGTGTCGCTGTAAGGGCTGCAGCCAGAAGCGGTAAAAGAGGATAATTCGTATGTATTGTACGGGAGTAACCTTTCCATAAGCTTTCAGAGGTATCTTTTGTGTGGCTCAGGGTAGGACAGGAACTTGGCGACCTTTTGAACATGCCAGAGGGAGGCTCAATAAACGAGGGTTAAGACCTTCACCACTTGGTAAGGTGGCGAAAAAGACTGTGTGTTTAATTGAAAGTCACGCGTGAATCCAGTTCATGATCCCGTGAGGTCACACCCCAAGACGTATTCATAAATCCTAAAAGCGAAAAATAAAAAATAAAAAATAAAACAAGACATCATTTCCACCCCTGTCACCGATCTCATCACCGCCTTTCATGCGGTGAAGCGCATGCAATAGAACACTGAGGGCGGCATCCGTCAGACCGCCTGTGGAAAAGTGCAAAAGTCATCGTTTTGCCGTTGCTTCCAACAATTATTCCTCGTCCATCCCACTCTTCCTGTCTCTCCACCTTATCGCACTCCCCATCACAGCTGTCATTCTGCCGTTATCAATCGCCTGGTGGCTTGTTAAACGCCTGCAATTCGGCCCACCGTCATTGTCACATCCGCGACACACGCGGGTGATTGTTGTTTTTCGTGGTGCTTTGTGGCCCACTGGTATTTTGCCGTCCCGACCAAACCACCCCTCGTCCTTCTTTGTGTGCGCGATTCGATCCACCATTTGTATTCTGCTGTCGCTTTTAATCCCACTGTAAGGTTGAGCGTGACCTTATCATCCCCATTGGGACCTCTGGCCCTGGGAATACTCGACGCCTCTGGCTCCCGACCCTTCCTACCGAGTCCTCGTGTTGCCCGTCTCACTCGCCCGCCATGGGTCGCAAACCGAACCAGCTGATCCTCGAGTTCTTCATTCGAGGCCAGAAACTCGAGGATGCCAGTAACCGTTACCAGCACACATGCAAGGCCTGTGGAGAGAAATTCCCGAAAGGTCGCATCGATAGTTTAACCAACCATCTCGTGAAGAAGTGTCAAGCCATCCCGCTGCGAGACCGTCAACGCGTCCTGTTGCGCCTCCACGAACTTCCCGATCTCGCCGATGGTGACCAGAACAAAGATCCGAGTGTCGCGGGCCAGAACAAAGGAAAAGGCTCGGATCTACCTTTCACCACTCGTCAGAACTTTGATGGTCTGAATGTCCTAGCCGAGGCCTCAAGGCAAGTGGGCGCATCCGACCAGACTAAACGGGGCGGCCCTGCGTATACCCAATCAGTTACTGTCGGTGGTAAGACTGTTGTTGTCGACCCTGCGCTTGAGGCCGAGGGCTTTCAGGGCCATCCGCAGGCAGAGCACGTTGAGGAAGACGTGAAGCCACCTGGTAAGCTGATTTTGCCCCTTGTCCTCATTCTCTTTGTTTGTTGCTGGCTTCATCGGTTTCATTGGTGTCGCATTAACCGCAATCGTTTTGTAGGAACTCCCCAAGGCTCTAACGCAACACTTCCATCCCTCCCCAATACTTCGCAAGATCAACCTCCGTCCGCGTCTCCTCCGCTGGCGGAAGCTTCGCTGACGCCTGACCCCACCTCTAATGCTCGCCAGTCGCAACTCTCTATGATCGCCGCCTCTGCTAGCGAGATGGTGCCACAGGGAATGCCGTTGGATCATGACATCGTCGATGGCTTGCCGAAAGTGGGTTCATGGAACCAACAGCTCTCCACTCAGGAACAGCTCCTATTTGATAGTCTCCACGAACATGACCCTACACTTACTGCTGCGACGCAGCGGGCCGCTGCTTTCCCTCGTCCTATTGCGATGAACCCCAACTCACAGGCGAAGGGGTTCGTAAATGAATTTGGTAACTCAACCAAACCGACGAAGCCGAAGGTACGCGGGCGTTTTTCTGCGGCCAGACGTAGGGAGGTTCAAGAGGTCAGAAAGCGCGGCGCGTGTATTCGTTGTCGCATGCTCAAGAAACCTGTACAGTTTCCCCTAACCTTTTTTTTTTTTTTTTTTTTGGAGGAGGGCGCGCAACTAATCATTCTCCAGTGTTCCGGTGATAGTCCTTGCACTACCTGTGCCAGTGTAGAAAGCGCGCGGTTGTGGAAGCATCCATGTATTCGGACGCGCATCGCGGAAGAGTTTGAACTGTACAATGCAAGTAAGTTTTTTTTTTTTGTTTCCTCACTCTGCTTTTAGTTTGTGTTGGGTGACTGACCGCCTAGATTTGCACGCCACCCTGGCATATCACGACGTAAGCGGTATCCGAAACCAGGTCAAGTTTGAGCATTATGCCGGCCGTATTGAGGTTACCCACTTTGAAGAGAGCATGGTGTATGTCACCTTTAGTGCGCTCCAGGGCCACAAACCATCTACCTCGACGCTTGATCCCCAACTCCAAGGGCTTGGAGACGACTCGCAATTCCAGGGACCACTTCATGAACTTTACTTGCTTGACAGCGATGCAGACGACTTACCTGGAAAGCTTGAGATGTACATCAAAAAGACCGCACCATTCTTCTACGAGAGAGAAGCTTCTGAAGTCATGAGGCCCACTCTGCTGCTTGCCTCAGAGTTGAGCCAGCAGAAGAAGGTATATACCTTTGCCCACACTATCGCTTGAGGAAACACAAGCTAAATGGTTACAGGATGTTCTGCTGGAGCGGGTGCTAGAGCTCTGGGTTGCTACTCACATTCTGGTCGACTCAGATTTGCGTTGGAGAACATTCTGCAACCCTACCCTTCCCCCTACTTCGATGCAGGCTCTCGCGCAGCCATCGGATGATGGACGCATGCCGATCGACGAAGTCACCAATGCTGAGTCTTACGCACTCCTGTGCAGCCAGCTGCGCGCAGCAACCGAGAAGCGTGCCTCGCAACTGAGCAAGTCGGTGATGAACGACCTCGAACGGCGCCTGCTTCAGCGTCAGCAGAGTGGCTGGTTTGAGACTTTCTTGGTTGCCCTCATCCTTCTGAACTGTGTGGAGAGAACCTGTTGGCTGTTCCGCTCTTGGGAAGATGAGGCGTTTGTACAGCGCGTAAGTCTCTTTTGGGCTGTAATTCTTGGATTACATTGTTTTCTAACGCATCATAGTGGCCTTTGGACAAACGTCCTCCTTACTACGCAAGCCAGGGCGATCGCTTCTCTGATATTCTGCATATGCTGCTGAAGATGCGCAGCCTGCCGCCCAAAGCAACTCCACGCGCCGATAATGGTATCTTGAAGGCGGTAGACGGTAGCGACATGAACGCAGCTCGCTGGTTTGATATGATTAAAGTTTCCCGTGAGTTTACCATACACCTTGTGTCTCAACCAGAGAACTTTCACTTACAGGCGACAAAACAGCTCTATACCTTGAACAACGGCAGGCTGCTGTCTTCGATCCCAACGACTCTCGCTCCCTCGATCTCCGCTACGGAGCAAAACTGTTGCCACCTACGAACGTTTACACATGATTTGCGCTGGTCCACAAACTGTGACTGATGAAACAAAACGAACCAATGACTTTGAAAAGATTGATTGAAGCCGGCTTTTCGTGATAGGTATTGTACTTGACTGGGTCTGAAGGAGGGTTTTGCAATGAAATTAGCTTGCTGGAATAGGGCATTTATGGGGGTTTCAGTTTCTTTTCCCCTTTTCCTTTCTTTTCTTCTCTTCTTTTTTACCCTTCTATTTGAAACCGAGCACTCAAGTGTAATCTACAGATTCCGTGTCTTGGCCCCATATCGCTGCATGAGTCCCCATGGTTCCTAGTCCTAGCTATAAATGGAAAATAATAATCATCCCTCCCCCTACCAAGCAGGGCGGAATCTCGAATGAGAAATAAGGGTTTGGGGAATTAGAATGAAGAACAAATACGGTAACGAGCGTATATTGAGCAGAGGTAGACTAGTATCTTTGCCCTTCTCTGAATACTGTGCAGCCAATAACAGTAAATCTAAGCATAGAAGGTTCAAAATAACTATAACTTAACAATGTATCAATAAGTATTTTGTACATTGTAGTTATTTGGCTTCCACATATATTGGATATATGATAATACCAATCTTCACCATTGATCAAAGCTACAGGCACGGGTTACAACATATCTATCAGTCGACCCTATATGTAGGTTTTTGTTGTATAGATAAATTATCCCAGGGAGAGGTATACAGACTACATGATAGATGGGGTTCCTCATCGGCCGAAGCTCGATGAACTACTAACATTTATTACGCTCTTCCGTCCCCTACCTTAGATGAATTTGCTTAAACAAATCAGTCATCCTACTGGTGATGTGACGAGGTTTTTAGACATGGTTGTTTGAAAGTCGCATTCCAGCTTATGTTGACAATCAGTGGTTTTGCATGGTTGAAGGTAGAAGGGTTCCCTTTCCTTCCAGATGGGGTGAAACGATACTCCTAATAGAAAGTACAGAGGCTCAAGACCCAGCCCACTGTGGGACGGATCTGAACTTTTTGAATGCCCTCCAGCCTCATGATTGTAAGATGTGCTGAGGGAGTTTGTGTGATCCTGTGGCGCCTAACTCAGTAGTTGCGTATGTGACAAGGAAGCCACTAGCGTGTTAAGCCCCATAGATTGTATCCTGGTTTGTATATATACTGGAAATATTTCTGAGTTCACTGTAAAAGTGTTATGGTCGATCTAGCCCTGTTAATTTCTAGTGCTGAATAAATTAAATGAATATCCTCTAACGTTCAGAGAGTCAGTGTAGGTCTCGGAAATATAGTCTGATAGTAGGATAGAAATAAACCGTCTTCATGCCCTGGTTTGCAAGGACCCAGGAAGGTTTAACTATAGCATATAATCAAGAAATGGAGTAGAATATCAAAACAACGGAAGAAGAGAAACAAAACACGCCCGAACCACAGCAAAGATAAAAGACAGCCAGCACCCTCTGGCCTTTTCGAGTGACTGTTAATATCGCCCGTTAACTGCCTAGTAGCAACATCGCTGTGCAAATGTCACTCAAGTGGACCGCCCCCTTCAGTGCCTGTTGCATTTTCATCCCGGGAATGGGGTGAACCGTTGTCCTTAGGTGATCGCACAGGGGTCTGGAGCAGGACGTCCCGTAGGGTCACGGTCATTTCATTATTCTCGGGTTTGATTAGGTCTTGAGCATCTTGAGGTGCAGAAAATGACGCCGGGTTAATGAAACTGCTGAAGCCAGATACTTCTGTACCCGAGTCATCTGGCGAGAGGGTCTTGACATCCCCCGTTTCATACCGGGGTGCAGATGGCCCGACTGAGGGTTTTGGTCCCTTGCTAGTATGGTTATTGGTGTTTTCTTGGCCAGGAAGGGCCAGCATGGAAGCCGGTTGATCGAAGAAACTGGAGTCGAACGCTTGTCCATCGAATATATTGGTGTACAGGAGCAGGATATGTACGTTATATCGTTCGCAGGCCTCTGTTAGGTCTTTGAGGTACTCGTTCGATGGATCTTCTGAACATATAGAAACTAGGCCATGGAGGTTGTGGACGCAGAGAGTTCGGATGGGATTGGCGCAAATGTGAGGGCCGTCTGTTGCTACGACTATGGCGTGGTAGCCCTTGTGTTTTGTGTCGTTGTAGCTTTTGACGTATGCGCTGTGGTTCCTTCTGTTAGTATATTACCATGGTATGTAGAGCAAAGATAGCGTTATAGGGAAGATGGCTTACTAGCTTTTAGTGGCATACGAAATTATATTAGCAATTGTTTGCATGAGTAGGGAGTCTTCGAAGAAAACGACTTCGTCAGAAATACGGGAGGACGACGACGGTCTATTCTCGCCGGTGAGAACTATCTTAAGGATATGGGATGCCTCAGATAATTGAAGAGGAAATCCTATGGGTTCATACCCACTGCTCGTCTTGGCGAAGTCGAGGAGGAAGAATTTCCCTGTATATGGGCACTATAACTGGTCAGTTGGTATTGTTGATGAACGGGGAAGATAGATCGACTCACAGTCATTCCCGACATAGCTTATTGAATTAGTTTGAATCAGGTCTCTTCCAGATCACAATATTCATGATATGAGACACGTGATGAACTGTTTGTTATGAGAAACAGACAGAGGAATAGCTGCATTTTATATTAAAGGATGACAGCAACGCCAGTGAATAACACCTTGTAAGCATCTCCACGACATGGAAAAGCTTAGGCCTCTATAATTCACCATGGTGGATACAGCCAATAGAAACGGTGGGAAACCAACACCAGTGAATAAGTAGAAGCAGCAAGCGGGATATCGGAGAGTATCTAAAAATACCAGTCTTGAAAATGACTGACGCGTCCATCCAATGGCAGAAGAGGGAAAATAAGAAAGAAATGACAGTAAATCCGACTCCCTCCTAGCATTTACCAATGGGACTGTACAAAGAAGAGGAACAACCCAATAAGAACAAAGTCAACACATCATCATCAGTCATAATACAACATGAAGAGCATAGTAAGAACAATGGTGCAGTCTCTTCATAGAGCCACTATCGAGTCCGGGGACTGCAAATTCCCTTGCACCTGCTCTAACAGTACTGCGTAGTATTTACCCTCTGCAGAGGTATCATGGTAAGGTCCCGCGCCCATAATAGCCCTACTTCCATTAGCATTACTGTGATTTTGTGCCTTTCGAGTGTATGGCAAAAAGACGACGTGGGATACGTACCATCCTTTATACTTCGGCTGGTTGAAGATGTCTGTGAAAGCTTTTAGAATGCGCAATGGCAACTCTAGAATCGAGGGCAGTTCCGGCCCAGGCCCGGAGATGGGAAGACCCAGCTTGTTGACAGGGACATAAACAATCTCGGCGGTGTTTTGGGGATTGCGGGCTTCTTGAAAGATGAGAAGACGGCGGGATGGTGGTGGGGCCATAATTTTTTTTCTTCTTCTTTTTCTTTTCCCTCTATTTTTGCTGGGTTGCCTTGCGATTGATGTCTTCGTAGTACCAGTGCTAGTGGTTGTTTCTCTGCTGCAAGTACGGGGTGTGTATAAGTGTATATGTTATGCGCGCTCCAATAGTAGTACGGGACTAAATCGCGCGCCGCAAACGATCGTTTGTTGTTGATCAAACAAACTCGACATTCATTGATATTATCGATAAATATGCTGCAGCCACGATCCCGCTTATCGCTTCTGTTGATCTGTGCGCAATTGAGTGCGGGATGGAGATAAAGCCCCTGAAGGCGGGGCAACAAATGGAAGAGTTATCCAGTTTTTGAAACACTCTTGAGAAAATCCAAGCAATACACGAGAAATGGATCAATGAGTCAATGATGAAATGGATGTGCTCTGACGCTGCAACATAGACAGAAGGGGTAAACAAATTCAATCTGAGTAAATCGCGGTTCCACCGCGTCGGCACGTGTTCGGGTGGGGGGAAACGCCGGATTTCATTCGACTATCAAAAAGGGTAATTCAATGACTACTAGTACTAAGGTATGGAGGTAGTAGAGGTCGAACTACGAAAGTAGGATACCAGATCACAAAATATGGCTTCTCAGTAAGCTTCTCCCAAGCCAAACATGGCATATATATACACACATTACAAGTACAGCATCGAACAAGAAGACAACGTTCGAGGATATCAACAGCTGGGTATCAAGTATCAAAAGAAATCATGGAGGTCAACTGTCGCGTGCGAAAGAAACGCTAGAAAGCACCGTCAACTCTGGGCCATCGGGACCAGCTATTTTCGATGATGCAACGCATCAAATGCCTAAAACATGCAAATAAAGCAATTCATCCCGTGGAATCTCCTACGTATCAAGCTCCCCATCAAGCACCCGTCGAGCAGCATCCAATCGCCGTCTCAATTGACGCACGCGCTTGGGGTCTGGATCGGAGGAGGTCGTAATTGTCTGAAGATCCATGCAAACATCGCCCAAACTCTTGAACAACTGTTCCAAGAGGCGTGTGTCGTCCTCATTGATTCCCATGTTGCCATTAGCCACGGACTTGGGATGGGGACTAGACGCCGCTCGCACAGTGGATACGAGGGAGGACACCAGAGATGTCGGAGTTGCAGACCCAGTCATAGATTGGCGGGGAGTCGAAAGATATTCCTCCTCACGGCTCCTGCTGTTTGGCTGTCTTCGGACCGCGCGAGGCGTTCCCATCTCTGATTCAGAGTCAGTTGAGTGCCGCTTCTCATCAGCAGGCCCAGAAGTATAACGCTGATTACTACGTAACTCTAATGTCTTGTTAGTCTCCAGTGTATTTGCGTTTTCAGTGGTTAGTGGACTCACCATCATTAAATCTCCTGTCCCAATAGAGGACACTTTCAAGGTCGTCGTGGTCTCCTTCAGTCGCAGTCGCATACGATGCTACGGTGGACAGGGATGCCCCGCTGTTCGTGCGGGAGTGACGGACGTGAGGACGATCATGGATAGGCCGCGTTGTTTCGACCGACGAAGTTGAGACATTGCTTGTTCGCCTTAACCTGGCTGAATAGTTTCCCAGGGCGCTGTGAAGGATGAAGTTCTCGTAGTCAAATGCATCTTCACGTTCTTCATGGGGTCGAGAGTCAGAATTTGGGACCGCTGGGAATGCGTCCAGATCTTCAAAGTCCTCCAAAGGCTCGCGTAATATTTCACTCAGTGCCTCACGATCAATGTCAGATGAGTCGTCGGAGTTGTATTCGCCTTCCTCTGCGTCTTCGTACAAGCTCTCAATGACCGACCGCCCATCTTCGTCCACGGGTTCAAGGACCTTTGGTTGTGGAGGTTTTGTATTAGCATTAGATGTCTCACTTCCGTAATGGCTAGTGACAGCCTCATTGCCGTCTCGCGCGTGTTCGTATTCTCCACTGCTTCGGGGCTCTGGAGTGTAATTCGGACTCCGTCCCGCACCGGGTCGCAGGTGACTATCTCTTAGCTCCATTGTATTGGTGAAGTACTTATCTGCCGCCGTGAAAGGACTAGGGGTTCGCAGACTCTGTAAGCTACGTCGACGTAGGTTGTCCTCCTGTGCCTTCACTTTCAGACTGGAGATCTTGATGTGCAAACCCTTCATCTGGTCTTGGAGATCTCTCACTTGTAGCTGCGACTGTGACCGAGATGGAGGATCAGACACAGGGTAGACCGAATAAATGTCTTCTGCGTTCAAGGTATGATCCTCTGTGTCTTCCGCTGAGATTCCTAGTCCATTAGGTGAACCGGAATTGTCTTCTTGCAAGTTCAAGGGAGAAGCACGAGCGGAGTGCGGTTTTGATACCGACGCACGGTGCGTAAGATATGCTCTGTTTGGATCATAACGAAATGTTCGTGCATCATTGTTGAAGTTCGAGACACTGCTCGATCCTAGAGCACTGAGGGACCTGGACAGGTCTGGCTCGACAGTTGGGAGACTCGATTGGTCTGCTGACGGCAAACGGGTTTCGCTATATACCCGGGAATGACGATTGTTACTCGTGTCCTGGGATGAGGTATATGTTGCACGAGGACGAGCCGATGCTCTGCGGTCCGCACGGGAGATCGATTGATACAAGCCGCCAACTGGTTGACCCAGCCCCAACGCTTGGGTGCCAGGGGACGGTGTTGGTGACACCGAAAGTGATGGCGATGTCCGCATCGAAGACCGAGCCCGAGTCAAGTTACCTTCCATGAGCTACAACGATGCACATCAGTTCAAGTTCCGTGAAGAAGTAACTCACTCTGTGCTTCAGCTAAACATACCGTGAGCCGTTTCTTTGCATTCTCCAGAATCCTTTCCGCTTCACTGCTCAGAATCACCGACGATAGTTCGTCACCAGGGCCTCCTTCCTCAGTATTCGCCACCACTCTGCCAATGGCATTCTCCTTCATGATGCGAACCGCTTCAAGTAACTGGTCCTGTTCTACGGCACGACTCTCTTGCGAGGCCCTCTGTCCATTCTGGCGATTTTTGGCCCCCTCCAATGAGGATGTCTCACTAGCGCCACTAATTGTAGAACTAGATGAGCTGCTGCACCCTCCTGTCTCCTTGGCCTCCGTGTCCTCTGCCGTGCGCTGCGAGGCCGGTGAGCCTGCCAATCGGCGGTTATGCGTGACCTCCAAGTGAGGCCCAAATCCGCTTACCGACGATGTTGACGACATATCTTCCTCCCCGATATCCGACAGGCGACGACTCGCATCAAGAGCGTCGTGTTGCCAAATGTGACGCGGGAAAGGCTTTTTCTGGGACCGGTGAGAAGCCATAGGACCGCCATTTCCGTTGTGATCCTGGGCGAAAGGTCCGTTGTTGTAGAACGATTGGAGATGGGACAAGGAAGGGAGGTTAAATGGCGGAGAAGGAGTGGAGGATTCGCGCTCGCCTTCATATGGTAGGATCATATCCGGGTTCGATAAAGTCGGCGACGGTGGAATCGCCGGTGGAGGCGGCCTGTGATGCCGGACATCCTCCGTAGAGGAACCGTGTAACATGCTTCCAAGTTAAATCTGTTTGGTTCGTGCTCAACGGCGTTCAAAGCCGAGCCCAGAAGCGTGTGGTGATCGAGTTGGCGGGTCGGGGGGAGAACCACCAATTAAACCAATATCATGGGTGAGAACGTGCCCGAGTCTGAAGAAGGGCTAGAACGGTGCGTCACTGGAATCGAGGGATAAGTTTAATTCCTAAGTCGAGGTGAAATTTAACTGCCGTCGCAAAGCAAATCCACGGTCAATGCGAACCCAGCCAAGCGGGAAAGGGCAGACGGAATTGAAGGAGAGGGAAAACAAGAACAAGCAACGAGGCGCGACGAGGTTTATTAGGATTAAGAATTAAGATTAACAACTAAAAAGTAGATAACAGAGGGGATTAGTACAACAACCAGAAGGCGATGGAAGGCAGCACAGAGAAAAAGAAAAGAAAAGAAAGAAAGATAGAAAGAGAGAGAGAAGACAGGTGACACAGCCACCAGGCCCGGGAGAAAAGAAAGGTATTAGTTAGTATTATTGTTTAGTTTTTAACTAGCGGTGTTATTTATTCTTCCCTTTAGTTCTTGTTGTTTTGACCCTGACCGACTCGAGTAAGTAAATAAATGAAAAAAGAGTACTCCGTAATAAATTTTTCGTCGTTTCTGGCTGCCAGGCCCAAAGAGGTAAAGATCGGACCCGTGGGGGAGAGTCCACCGCGTTAATAAATAAATTGAAGGTCTCTTACCGAAATTGTGCTAATTATTGACCCTATCTTGGGTGTTGGGGAGGGGAGGAAATCTCCCTAGGAGGTGGATCAAAATGACATTTATGGAATAATAAGAGAGGAGTGTTGCATATCATACATTATACTGCCCTGCATCGTCAACACAAGGGTACAGGACTTGAGACCAGGAAGAATCCATTAGTATCTAATAACAAGTAATAATATTAAAACAAGCCACTGGACAAACCTTAAATTACCTGCAGGCGGAGATCATCATTTAAAGAGATGCTCATGCTCACTGTTATGGCGCCATGCAAGCCAGAGAAAGACTCTTTTTTTTTCATTCATAACTTTTGCACTATTCCAGTGTCTTTTCATATTTTTATATTTTTATTTTTCTCACTCGTTCTATTATAAGTTGACCACAGTTACCTATTTTCTTGCACCCTATTTCTTTTTTTTTTTTTTTTTTTTTTTTT